TTGTGTTGATTAACTTGGTCGTTTATATTAATGGAATGTAAAAAATCCTAATCCATAATATGTTAAGACAGGGTTTCGATGTGAATAATTTATTTGTGGAGATGATATTGTATTGTTTATTGGAAATGAATAAGCATATAGAGTTTCTGAACATTTTAAATAATAGATAAAAGATAGAGTTTAAAAATACAAAGAATATGTAGAGATGAAAAATAATAAAATTAGGAATATGTATTATGATGAGAATAAGAAGACTAAATGTCTATAAGAGATAAATTCTAAAATATTGGATTAATAAGTTAAGTAAATGAGACCTGAAGATTTCTTGTATACAAGATTATAAAGAAAGTAATCTATGTATGTTTAACAATTGAAGAGAAGAAGTACAATGATGGTTCCTGAAGAATTTCGAGAAGGACAAAATTCCATCTATAAAAAGAGATCAAGTACAACTAGATTAGAAATGGTAAAGGAGAAAATAAATATTGTTAAATAATTTAAAGTCTAAGATAAAATGAGAGAATCTGCCAAAGAGGTAAAGAGTCTTAAAGAGTCTTGGGAAGTATTTCGTAAACTTTCACAAGATTCAGAAACAAGAACTTAATAAAGAACTAAAATACCTTTAAATATTTTGAATACAAAATTATATTAAGCAATTGAAATTGATAAAGTTTCTGATCTCATTTTAGAATCTGAAAGATTGAATCCTTTGTATATACCTTATTAAGGATAAATTGTTAAATCATAACCAATATGTTAAAGAGAATAAAATATTAAATCATAACCTGGTAGTTAAAGAGAATCAAGATAAATTATTAAATCATAGACTGTTACAGAATCAAGATAAATTGTAAAATCATAACCTACAACTTAGAGAGAATATATTGATGATCAATCTCATAATGAATTTATTGAGAGCCCTGATATTATGAAATATGAATATGTCAAAAGAATTCATAATGGATATCATGAAAAATTATTAATGGATAATTTAATGACCAAAGAACAATGTTTTTTACCTATAAAATGGAAGAGATTGAAAGATGATACTAAAATCTTTTAAGGAAAATATTAGAAAATGCAAGAAAGATTACTCAAATAATAAAGAGAGGCCAAAAAAATGATTAAAATAAGTGACGCATGATTATATTAATACATTTAGCTGTTATAATTAAAATTCACTAATGTCAGAATATACAGTCAGAGATTGGTAACACAATTCAAGTACCTAAGAGACTCCTCATATAGAATTAAGTTACGATTTCTATCACTCAGAGATATCAAACTTGAAAGCATAGGTTAATTAATTTCAATAATATATTTGTAAATTAGAAGAACAATTCAAAGAAAAGAATAAAAGATTACAAATTTAATTAGATGAATAGATCTTGAATAATAGATAATTGAAATAATAAATATTGACTTATGAATAATAATTATAGTAAAGTGCATTTAGATAAAAATTACTATTTTCAGGTCAATTAGAAACTTTGATAAATGAATTAGACTAATTGACATAATTGATGAATCAAAAAAGTGAAAGGATTGTATAATTAGAATTTGATAATTAAGCATTATTGAATTAGATTTATGAATTAGAAACATCTATTGAATAATAACAATTTTAGTATGATCATTTTGATCAATAAAATTATATCATTTTAAACCAAATTGATCAATTGAAATCGGAAAAGAACGAATTAATAATCAAATTGAATGATTCATAAATAATGGTTCAAAAATTAACAGTTGAATTATAATGTAAGTCATCCTAATTATTGGAAAATAATAAATAAAATTAATTATAAGAATAAATAAGAGATGAAATTACAAAGGCTTAAATGACACATCAAGAATAATTCATTAAATTATTACAATAAGAAATTATAGAATTAAAAGAATAATTAAAGAATAAATGATTATTATCTAATTATACTATTATAAGTATTTACATAACCAATAATCATGTTTCAAGGAGAATCTACATATTTCTTTACTTTTTTATACATTATCAAATTAAGCTAAATTTAATGGCTCAATCTATCAGTATATTCTATAAATTACAATCATATTTTAATCCCTTAATTTATAAATGTATTTTAAACTAATTTCTTTTAAATTTTTTTATAATAAATGTTCTAAAATGACGTAATTGTCTGTAATTTTAATTATATCGATAAAATTTTCATAAATTTTTTATATATATCAATTTATTAAGTTATTTTTCGTTAATGGAGAGTATAAGAATTATGATATTTCCCAATGTTATCCTATTTGATTAAAATTAAAATTAATATAAATAATATTGTATTAATATTATTATTAATGATAAAAATAGCTAAATTATTATCAAAATCACCATAATAATTAAAGCAAACATATTTACTTAATCATAAGCCACAATTTCAATATGGATAAGTAGATCGATTTTTAGATAGACTATAAATGCCTCTTTACTTTTACTTAATAGGAATAAATGTTGGTGTATATGCATTATGGCATTTTCCTGCAGTCGATAAAGTAAATGTTTATTAAATATAGATTAGAATTTTATGTTTAAGCATTTTACTCTTCATCCAGGATCTATGAGTCTAAGAGAATTGCATACATTTATAACATATTCATTTTCTCATTAGAATACATTACATTTATGTAAAAATTCTAGAAATTTTAAGTATTTAATATGGTGACTTTTTACTTCTTTGGAAGGACAATAGAAGCATATTTTGGATCAAAAAGATTATTAGCAATATATATGGCAGGAGCATTAGTAGGAGGATTAATGTAATAAAGATAAGCTGGGATATCATTAGGTGCAAGCGCTGCATGCAATGCTTTATTAACATATTATATTTGCAATTTTCCTAGAGAAATAATATTATTGTTCTTTATTCCTGTACCAGCATGGATAGTGGGATTATTAATATTATATTAAGGTTGGTCAGGATAAGGTGATGGAAGTGGTATTGGTCATGATGCTCATTTGGGCGGTTGTTTGGCTGGATTGGCATTTTACTTTGCTACAAGAGGAAAAATATGATAATTTATAATATTTATTAATATATTAAAACGGATCTATGATAGAGGGAAACTTAGGTGAACTAATTTGGGGAAGTGTAGAACTTACATTAAATGTCCTATTATTGGATAGATTGAGGTTGCCTTAAAAAATACCAGCTTAAGGAGTATTGAGATTGTCACTCATTCATGAGTACAATAATTACTCAGACACCAAGGTATGATGGTGTTCCTTAGCTAGGTGAGATATGTAGTAGCCTCACTCCTTACCCCAGATCTTTATAAATACTTTCGTAATTTCTAAGATCCACTTCAATTTATATATGGGTGCTTCATGTTCTTCGATCTCCTTGTTATCTCAGAGATTATTACTAATACAGATGCTATCTATGCTGCCACTCTTCTCTTAAGATTATTGCGTATCATTAATATACTCTACCAAATCTTCAAAGCTGCCATGACTATAAAAATAAAGAAGACTATTTAATACATTCCTCATTCAATAACTAAGCCATCTCAAGTATCTCCACCTTCATCATTGATTACAACCAAAGCTAATTCTCATGATGAAGATTAAGATTAAGAAATACTCAAATAACCAAAAAAACTATTAAATCCATTTCTATACTAATTCAACATCAGAACTTCTAAATCTTCTGTGATAACCATTACTACTAATGAAATTACTTAATTAGACTCTCTTTTGGATCATCAATTATATTTTGACAAAAGAACCTTACTTATGATTAAGCTAAATCTTTGTCTTAAAGCATATCATCAAAACAAAATAAAAAAGTTACCCACATCAGAAATACTACTCAAACAGATAGCTAACTATTAGTCTGAGTTAATGCTTATGCATTCATGAATTAGTTAACCCATTTATAAATATATATATTTTCTTTACATTAACATGACTACTTAAAATATATAATTATCTACATTGTAAAAATTAAAGGATGATAACATAAAAAGTTGATCATATCTAAATTTTAGACTTTGATTGCAAATCAACCAATAATGGAGATATTTATAATAATATAAATTTATAACAAATATCAAAACCAGAAATCAAGATTGATTAGAAAATTACATTAAATTATAAAAGGGAACTAAATAACCAAATTGATATGGTTTACTCACATAAAATAGTGTTATTAAGATTAGTACATGCAATACTGAAATACTGAAGAAGTATTTGAACAATTTATAGCTTTTAAACAATATTTAATTATTTATCGAATATCAATTGAATGAATTTTACTGATGCAATTAAAATTTCATAAGTTATTGAATAGCTGTGCAATAAAAATTGGAACTATATTTAGAAAACTTGGTATAATTAACTTGTATCAACAAATATAGTCATTAAGGATATAATGATGGTAAGAATTTATTATAGGAATGATGTTTCAAAAGTAAGGAAGGAAGCAAAAAGACTTAATAAAGTTTTATATACTACATTAGAAGAATTGATCATAGATTACATCATAGTCATTAAACATTATCTTTAAATTAGTGGTAATAAAAAAGATTTGGTTGAATTTGCTGATCTTTTATTATAATATGAATTATTTGAAAGAATCATATTTTCTAAAGATGCTTCAGAATATTAAAAATTTGATAAAGAAGTATTCTTCTGTTTAGGTTATTTAATGAAGGCTTAAAATAAAAGAGTGGAATTAAAAATATTTATGGTGGTAATCTTTGTTTGTTACTCGTATTTTTTAAGAATGATGTTATCTATATTTGTTATAAATTTAATTAATAACAAGAAAGATATAATCTTATTGAGATTTTATTGTAATTTAGATTAATAATAATTTTTGTGAAACTACCAAAAGATTAAATAATGAATAATATTAAATAATTATTTCATATTTTCTAACAATAATAATAAATTTAGATAGTATTTGAAATAATGAAAAACTAATATCATTGAAAAATATATTAGTTAAAGTATATATAATTTAATAATAAAAATGATAGCAGGTACAAGAGTGAATCCATATTTTTAAAGCAATCGTAGAGGTGGAAGTGCTTTAAAGGGTGGAAGATTAGAAAATAATAGTAGTTTTTAAACTCCAAAAATGATTATGCAAAACTCTGCTGAAGAGAAATTTTAGGTAACTTTAATTATTTTAAATGTTAGAATAAACAATAAGATGTAAGTCAATTGAGATAAAGTCCATCTTTTAAATTGAAAAATACAAGATTTCTAACTCCAGGAAAGCAAGAAGAAATACGAAAATAATCAAATATTTAAGAAACCTATGCTCGTAAAACAAGAATCACAGTATTGGAGTCATTCTATCATTAACTAGGAACTGATGATGACATATCAGTTTTAAAAAATACTTAATAAGTAAAAAGAAAGTTGATTAATATAACACCATCTTCTTAAACTGCATATATCTCGAAAAAAACATAAGAACTAGAAGAAGAAAATATAGAGGAAGCTCATTTCTAGTTTGTATAAATGCAATAGAAATATAAATAATGGTTGGAGAACTTTGAAAAGAAGTGTGGAAAGCATTTTTGATTAAAATAAATATAATTCTCTATTTAATGAATGCAATAATGAAATTATCTCATAAATCATCTTCATTTAGTCAAGATGATATATACATTAGACTTCTTGATATGCATAAAGAATTATAGAAATTCTAGTAGAAATTTTAATCATCTCATTAATTAGAGTTTAATAAAACTATAGATTCCAAAGGAAGACAATCGTTTTAGTTTTTCAGCTGAATTTTAATAATAAAATTAATAATAATAGAAAGTAGAAGAAGAAGTGAATTTTTTAGATGAAATTGATGAAAAGAAATAGATTAATGAGAGAGAATAGATTTTAGAGAATAATATATAGATTTATGAATCAGCATTAATAACTTTAGAAGAAGAGAAACAAGAAGAAATAATTAGATAAAGAATATGTAAATTTAAAAAAATATGGATAGGTTAAATAAACAAGATACTAAATAAAACATAAGAATAAATAAAAAAGAAAATATAGTAAGAAAAAAATTATAAAATATTGGATAATAATTTAAATTATTAGAAGAAAAAAAATTGTTGATATAAAAAATAAAAGAATATGAAACAAAGTTTAAAGATTTAAAAGAAATAATTGATTCTTAACAATTAGAAATTTTTAGTTTAAAGCATATTAATTAATATTTAATTGATAAATTATAAAAATTATGAATTAATAAAATATGGAATTATTTCTTGATCTTTATTTGTTAATAAATAATTATTTATAATATAAATTATACTTATCAACTAGGCATCATACGTTGTAGTAACTTTTTGATGCTTTTAAAAGTTTATTTGTTAATACGACAATAATTACTTTCTTATTCCTCAATTTATTATATTAATATAGATTCCCATTGCTAATTATTAATTTATACATACATTTAATTGAATTTCAATTATATTTTATGAATACCATTATTTACCAAAAATAAATGTTAAATCAAATGTCATTAAACCTAAACCTATTGCTGCAAAGATTGGAGAACAAAGTAAAGTTTATATTGTAAATCTTCTTCCTAAGAACGCTGCAATAGATATTCCTGTTGATATTATTCCTACTTAAGATTAAATTGGATTGATTCTCACTCCCATTGTCTTTTATAAATTCTCAGCATATTATTAAAAACTATTTTTCTAAATTTCAGCCACATTATTATCATTAATCAATTCAAATAATTATTTACAACCTTCAACTATAGACAAATCTTTTTATCCCACTAATTAAAAACTTGAAAATAATTAATTGTTCTATTTCTAAGGAAATATTGATTATAATTTCATTATTAAACCATTCTTTATATCCTCATTTAATTATAAAATCTTTTTTTCATATTCAATCATAATTTATAAAGCTGATTTACATGCTGATATTATCAGATTTTATGGTTCTTCAGATGCTAATTAACATTTGTAACGATCTAACTCTTTTTAGATTTAATCTTTAGCAACTTATTTATATTTTGAAGTACAATCATTATAGTTCTTTATTTAATTTTCAATGAAAATATCTATGAAATCTCTTAGTGTTTCAAATAAATTTTATTCTAGTTTAATTTATTAAGGATAGAAAACCATTTCTAAGTAAACCATAAGATTTACAATATATACAAACTTTTCTCCAAAGAAAGTTTCACTTATTTACATTTTTATAGAAGATTCCAATTAATTTTAAAATTTACAATAATCTTGATTTTATAACAGATTTGGATTATTTTTAATTTTTTCATTGCAATACTTTCTGCAATCATTTTAATTCACAAATAATTCAACATCTCTATAATCTAAAAAATAAGATTCCATAAATTTATCAATAGCTTATTTAGATCCATAATTTAATATTCTATACCTCATAGCTCTTAAAGCTGATATCTTAAATATATTCTTATCACTACCAATCATTTAACTAATTTTTTTTATGGTAATATCGACATTAGAATCTTCTGATACTTTTCTTTCATCATATTTATTTAGAATAAAAAATAATGTTGTCAATGAAGGCTTACAATAACTCTCAAAAGATTCATTACTTTCTATTACTTCTTGAGAACTAGCAAATAAATTTGGCTATCTTTAGATTCCCTAAAACTCTTCAATTATTACACTCTTCAAGTAACTAGCTTATTTATTTTACCTTTATGATATTTGAGAAGAAACTGAAGTATTATAAATTTTAAGGATTTATTCTTAAAATTCTTTATCATTATCAAATGTAGTGTAATTGCTAATCCATACATTAATACGATGTTAATTACCAATCTTATCATCTATTTATTCGAAAAAGCTTTTCAATAATTATTATTCATTAATTTTTATCCCTGGACTATCAAGATATAAATATAATAAACTACGTATCAACAAAGACTATCCTACTCCTTAAATCTGAAGGGAATTACTGATGAAATAGAGAAGGAACTTGGATATTCACAATTTCAAATTTGTTGTTTTTCTACATTTCAAATAGAATCTATTATGCTTGATCCAAACTATTAATTTATTTTTCATTTATAAGAATCTTTTCATTATTTTTGATGAAAATTATATTCTAGGTGCATTCCTAATTTCTAGAAGGTAAAATTTGTTGACCTAAAAGAGAATTGATGAATGTACTCTTCCCTGCAGATGTTGTACCTATAAAAATAATCTAAGAATTTTAATTCTGTTTACATAAACTTTAGCCTCATCAATATACGTTTTTAATTCTTAAATATTCTATCTTATTATTTAAACATCATCTTTCGGGTCTTAAGTTAAAGTAATTCCATCACATATGATATTTAATTACCTGTAAAATTATTCGATTTTCTCATTCATTGGATCAAAGAAAAGAGGTTCATTCTATTGAGATGTTTTCTTGACAAATAAATTCTTTATAAAATTCATTTAAAAATTATTAATCTTCTTGAATTCTATCGAAAATATTAAATTAAAAATTTTTCTACACATTTATGATTTATTATAATATCATAGAGCCATTTTCTTTCCAGCAAATCCAGCAATAGTTCCCTTTTTAGCAGCAATATCATTAGCATCTAAATTTCCTCCTCTTCCTCGGCCTCCTCTTGAGAATCCTCTGCCTCCTCTATCACCTCCACGGCCTCTTCCTCCGAAACTTCCTCTGTCACCTCTTCCACCGAAGCCTCCTCTTCCTCCGAAGCCTCCTCTATCACCTCTGTTACCACCACCACTTCTTTATGATGAATTAGCAAGATCAACTCTGATTGATCTACCTTCAACATCAGTTCCTGTCTTTGAGAGTCCCTTTTAAGCTGATTCATTATCGAAAAATTCAACATATCCAAATCCTCTTGACTAAAACATTAATACAATAATAATACCTTTCCTTCAGCATCTTTAGCTATTCTGACTTCCTTAATTTTTCCACAGTCTTCAAAAACTGGATACAAAGAGTCTTCAGTAGCATAGAAACTTAAGTTTCCAACAAAGCATGTTGTGCTCTCACCTGATCCTCCTTATTAACCACCTTATTATGGTCTTTAATCTCTTGGTTTTGTCTTTTCAACAGTTATGGTTCTTCCCATATGTTCTGAGCCACTGTAATCAACAGCTGCGGTTTAAGCATCCTCAGTTGAGAATCTAACAAAAGCAATTCCCTTAGAGTTTCCATTTGGTCCCTTCAACAAGTTAACACTGTTGATAGGTCCACATTCATCGAAGAAATCTTTGATATCTTACTCAGTAGCATCAAATGAGAGTCCTCTGACGAAGACTTCATGATCTTATTATCCTTATTAGGCTTATTAAGCTTGCTTTTAAGGTTATTATTATTATTTTCCTTTTGGTGGTTAAGGAACATCTTCATCATCATCATCATCATCTTCTTATTCAATTTATTAAGTCTTTTATGGAGCCTTATTTTATTAGAGTCCCTTCTTTGGGGGAGGAGGAACATCATCTGAATCTTCATCAGAATCATCTTATTAGACTTATTATTTGACTGGAGCCTTAGTTTAAACAGCTGGTTTGGCAACTGGCTTTGAGGGAGCTGGTGCCTTCTTGGGGGGAGGAGCTACATCATCTGAATCGTCATCTGAATCTAATTAAACTTATTGTTTAACTGGAGCCTTGGTTTAAACAGCAGGCTTTGAAGCAACTGGTTTAGTTGCAACAACTGGTTTTTTGGGAGGAGGAACATCATCTGAATCTTCATCAGAATCCTCTTATTAGACTTATTATTTGACTGGAGCCTTAGTTTAAACAGCTGGTTTAGGAGCTTATTTAACTGGGGCTGTAACCTTCTTGGGAGGAGGTGGGGCATCATCTGATTCATCATCAGATTCTTATTATTTGACAGGCTTTTTTTATGCCTATTTGGCTACATTTTAATTTGTGGTGTTTGGTTTTGTTGCATCAAAACTACCCTTTTTCACATTTTGTACCAACTTAACTGGTTCATCTTGATCATCTGAATCTACTTGTGGTGCTTTAGCAGCTACTTTAGTTGTTCCAACAACTGTCTTTTGTTATTATTTTTTTTATGGAGGAGGAACATCACTCTATTCATCAGAATCTTCATCATGCTTCTTAATTGGAGCACCTTGGTTTGTTTTAACAAGTTTGTTAACTGCTTATGCTGGTTTTGTGAATTTAGACATTTTTTTTAATTTATTTTAATGTGTGGAATAATTAATTAAAAATTTCTTGGTTATGAACTATAATTTATATAAAAATATTGAATCTTTAATTATGGATAAATTTCAACCAATGAATTAATTTAAATTATTTAAACTCAGATTTTGATAATTCAAAACATTTTCATAAATTCTTTAATATCATTCTAATAAGATAAAAATTAATCACGAATAAAATTCATGAATTCAAATTTAATTCCATCTATGTATTAATATATATTACAATATATTCTTTATATAATTATATACATAACCCTTCTAGTTATTAAATAAATTTGTTTTTTCAATGATATCAAATGATGAAATTTATTTAGATGATTGTTTTATATTAATATATCCTTATATCACAGTTATTCAATAATGAAAAATTAAATATGCAGAATATAATAACAAAAAGTATAACAAAAAGAACTTAAAATCATAAATCAAATTAGTATATTGAATAAAATAAAAAATTAATCAGCTTTATTTAGAAGTGTGAGAACTAGAAATTAAGAAATAAAACTCTTAGAAAAATAATGAAATTTAACAATAAATTATTATCTTTTTATGAATAATAAAATTTCTAATATTTTATTTCTTCATATCCTTAGTTATAGAAATAATAAGATTAGATATTTAAATTGAAGTTAATAATTAAATATCGTTTTCTTATACATTTAGGTTCAAATAACTATTAATAATTTTATTATTTTTTTGATTATGAAATTAACTTAAAATAATAATAATTAGATTGAGGATAAATAAAATAATTAAGAAAACAAAGAATGTATAAAAATATTGTAATATTGCGTGCATTACCTATTATTATAATTATAAAAAAGTAATATTGAAGATAAGTTTTATCCTGAATTTTTTGAAAATGTGTGTTAGCTTTTGATTTTTGGAATTTAAATAAAAAAGCTCACTGCATTCGTTAATTGACAAAAGTAATAAATAATCTATAGAACCAATAAAATTTAAAATAAAATAATAAGATAAAATATATCAATTATTTGGTAAATATTAATTATGAATTAGTTTATTTTTAATAAGCTTTAAAAAATATTAATGTTTTCTAATAATTAATTCTATCAGATTTTATGATAGTTTATCTATTAAAATCCTATAGGGGACATAATTTAGAATTTATAATTATTCATTTAAAATGAGATTCCTACTAATTTTAATAATTATTAGTAGTTTTGAATTAAGTTAGATAAATCTTTAATGATCTAAAATTAATAATGATTTGATTAATGTTTTCGATATTTATAAAAATTCTTTTCAAATTATGAGTTGACTATATATAATAATTAATAGATAAAGAAAAAATATAGAATTAGATCAATAAGGTTATTTCTATAAACAATAAATGAAATAAAGAAAATAGTGAATTTATATATTTATATATTAATAAATAATATATAAATATGATATGTTATTTCAATAATAGTATTCGATATAAATAATAAAAATATATAATGATATCTGAGAATGAGAGTACAAGAGTTTTGTTGGTGATTGTATAGAATCCTTAATCAATAATACTGCCTCATTCTTTGTTCTATCGATACTTTTCAAATTATGGGGAAGTTAACAAGATATTAATATTTGAGAAAGGAAAGTTATGGAAATGTTTTATAGAGATGGCAACTTTATAATAGGCCAAGATTTCATTGTAATAATTGAATGGCTGTTAATTGTATGAGTAAACAATAATGAATGTGTAAAATAATCTAAATGATTTATAGTTACTATTCAACATTGCAGAATGTCACATTTATGAATAACAATTCAGGTGGTGTAGATTATAAGGCAATGAAATAAAGAAATTCAACCAAGACTGTTAATATTTATGAATAAGATTATTATCCAAAGACATATAGTCAACCTTTAATAACTCAATAGGATACTAGATTGAGTGTGGCTAGTTTTGGAAATGAGAGAACAAGAGCTAGTTTAAATGACAAATAAGATCTTCAAGATTATATAAATGAATGGGAACCTTCAAAAATATAAACATCGCTGGAATTTATAGATGATAGTGATTCTCCTAGAAATAGAAAGTATGCATCATTTAAATCAATTTAATTTGATGATAATGAACATGATCCAATAGATGAAGATATAATGCATGCATTCTCATCTGAAAAGAATACTTATCTAAATTCATATATGTTTTCAATACCAGAAGTAGAAGATAAGATTAAGAATTAAGATATTGATCCATATACATATGTTTCACCTTAATTCTTAAGAGAAAATTAACCTTCTAAAGTTGTTTATATGAGAGGGTTGATGAATTAGAATATTACACCATTAAACATATTTAATTTACTATCAAATTTTGGAAATGTATTAGTAATTATTCATATCAAACATAAAACATCAGCATTAGTATAATTTGAAAAATTATAACATGCTTAAAATGCACTTGATCATCTTAATAATTAAGTGTTTTTTGGATATAAATTGAAGATCTTTTATTCAAATTATTAAGAAATTCAATTTCCTTTACCATTCCAATCACCTTAAACTTAAGTTTTTATGCCAATTCCATCTTAATTTAGATTTAGTGATGGAAAATCAATATCATTTAATCCACCTAGTCAAATACTACATTTGAGTAATATTAAAGGAAAAATGTGTGAAGATGAATTCTATATTAAAGATATCTTTAAAGGAATAGGAAATGTTTAAGCTATCAAGTTTATACATATTGACAAGTAAAATAATATGTATAATATAGATAAAAACATATGGCATTAGTAAGATTATCATCATTAGAAGAAGCATTGAATGGAGCAGCTTTACTTCATGGAAAAGAAGTAATGGGCAGAAAGATCAATGTTTCATTTACCAAAAGTAAATTATGCTGAAATTTAACAAAGTCAGCTTTTGCTCAAGTATTATGACTTTCTAAAACAATATAATTATTAATTATCCTTATTTTATATATTTCATGCTTTTACACCAGATGATGCAAAAAGATCCTCTGTTTTCTTTTCTACTTCAGGTTCGAATTAACATTATTATAAGCTTCTTTGGAATTGACTTATTCTTTTTATGATTCTAGAATGTAAATAGGTCTTAGAAGCATGAATATGATAATGTAAATATTATCTAATGATAATATTTAATATTATAATTACCTAAATCCTTATAAAAATGTAGATAATTATTCTATATTCTTACTAAAATGTTATGCTTTAAATAATGTCATTGTTATTAATTATGAATTTGGATCCACTTTGATATTTTAAACTTCTGGAAATGCTGATTTTAATATAGATGATTAATAATTAGATCTTGAAATAGGAGGTGCCATCTTAACATTTTTCTTAGCATCAATTATCTCTGTAATTATTAAATTAGCTAATGTTCTATCTACATTATCAGAAAATGATATTTCATAAAAGATATTCAAAGCATCTTTATCAGGAATAGCATAAACAACTTCATTCTCTCTACTTTGATATTTAAACTTAGGAGCTGTCTCTCCTTTATTGATTTGATCAAATGCCTACTCAAATGCAGCTGCATAGAAGTTTCTTCTTATTTATGAGAAATCCTTAGTGACCTTCTCAAATAATTTCTGATTTTCTGCTCTTATCTATAATTTAAGCTCTTAAATTTCAGCTTTTTCAGCTTCAGTTGCATTCTTTGGAATCTTCGGCTCTTCTTTGGCAGATTAAGCATCAAATGAAAATGTCAAATGAAATCCAACCTCTGTAGCCTCTTTAGTGTAATCTATACTTTATAAATAAGTAATTACCCTTATAATATTTGTCAATCATGTAGTTACCTGCTATACTGAATATCTCATTAAAATTAAAACAAGTAAATGATAGAAACAATCTACCATCTTCCTTATATTATAATTTTGTGCATGAGTAATTGTAATCCTTTGCAACCACAATCCTTGGATCCTTTTTCCTAAAGTCATTATATATATAATTACATGATCAAATCCATAATCTAGGTTTGAAGTAGCTTATTTTATGGATCTATGAGCATCATTTGTTTTTAATTAATTAATTAATTATATAATAATCTTTATGTACAATATTTATTTTAATACTATACATAATCAATTGTCTATAAAATATGTTAATAATAATATTAATTTTTAATATTAATTTATTCAATTTGTTTTTTAAATAGTTTTTTCATGATTCTCAATTTCTTTCTTATAATTTTAGATCGTTTACAAAATTTTCAATATGGATTATAAATTTTACAAATGACACTTATTAAAAATTTAATAGCGAGAATGTTAAGAATAAATCTACTCAATAAACTCTAAATTCTTTTTCAACTATTATTGCATACTATCTAATTCAATTTTATTTTTTTAGTCTTATAAACCAAGAATAAAATTTTTTGTACTTTCTAATGATTATGTATTCTGTTATTTTGAATTAATATGAAATATCCAACAAACAAAAAAATTTAAATTGAAAATAAGCATATTACCTATGTTGTCCTTAATTTTATCAAAAAATTGATTTTAGAGTTTAGAATATTAATTTAAATTATTTAAAGACTGTGTTTCTATTCTATTTTCTTGTGAATAAATAACTTATTCTTTTATAATTTTTTTTTCTTCGTTTTTTTGATCCAATTCATTGATTAAACTTTCAATTTTTTTTTCGAAATCATTATTTCTATTATTTAAATTTTACAATTAATTTTCAAGTATTTAATTGTTTGAATATAGTTGTTCATTAATAACTCCAAAATAATTAAAAACATTTAATAAATCTTCTAAAATTGGTCTAACATGATTAAAACAATTTTTATTTTAATCCAATTGTGTAACCAATAATTACATTGTATTCTTTTCTTTAGAATTTTAATTTTTAAAAAATTTAATTATATTTTTTTTAGTAATCTCTATACTCTATTCCACATTTTTTATATAATTAATTACATTTTTCATAGTGTTGATAATGTTTTAAATTCTTTACTCATTAATATTATTGACCCTATTAATATTCTACTAATTATTAGATTAAAATTCTTTTAATAAATCTTTCATATATTTAATAGTTTATTCTCGTTCCATATTGAGATTTTAGATATTTTCCTTAAATTATGGAACATCTACCTCAATCCTCATAGAGTTTTCATCCAAGTTTTCAATTTGCTGTTATATTGTAATTTCTTGAAGTTTATTGTATTTTTCACTCAACTCTCTTACTAACTAATCTATTGATTAAAAAGATTTTTATTAAGTATCTATCTATTACTATATTTTTATTATTTTCTCATTTAATTAATTATTCTCTTATTATAAATTTTTGTAATTTTTCTCAAGATTACGTATATACTCATCTTTAAATACATCATTTCTCTTAATCTGTAATATACTCTAGCTCATCTCATTATTTTATTCTTTTAAAATAGCAATATATTAGTTTGTTTATTTATCTATTTATTTTCTTTATTTTTCAATTTTCTCATTCTCTTAGCAGAAATTAGCATATTGTGTTAATAATTTACAATAATGATCATCTGCCAATTTCACTAATCCTTAAGGTTTAGCTACTCCAACTATCAATTTATGGTTTTCATCTTCAGATTTTCTTAATAATTCATTTAATTTTATTGTTAGTTTCAATATTTATTCTTTATCGTAATTATCTAATAAATTAGACAATAAATTTACTTGCTAAATACTACATAGCTGCTGTTGCATCTTAGTTTAATAGTTCAAATTGCTCAACCAGAGGATCTTTAATAATGGAATTATTCATTTTTATTAAGAAAAATATGATATTTATTTAATAATAATCAACTTTTAGATTTGAATTATTTTATTTGTTAGAGAAAAACTATAAATAAGACTTACAAATATTATGATATAAATATTTCTTAAAAAAGAATTAGATAAAAACTAAACTTATATTAATAAGTTTATTTTATAATTATTTCATATAAACTTATTTTTTTAGTAATCTTGTTTAATAATTATTTACACATTTGATTTTATGGGTGTATAATTTATTATATATAATTGATTAGGATAATTAGATAGTATCAATCAATAATAAGTATTAAAAGATGGAGCAAGTACAGTTTATATTGATCCATATTTTGAAATTATTTTTAAAACTATTTTGTGATGATTATATTTATTATAAATTTATTAACAAATATATATGAATGCTAAATTTGATGCTCCATGCAGATTTTATGTATCAGGGAATTGCAGAGAAGGAGACTAATGTAAATATTCCCATGACACATCAAATATTGAGAAAGTTAGTTTAATTAGAGATGAGAAGGGAAAACTAAAGAAAAATAATGATTATTAATCATAAGATAGAAAAATGATAAAAGGAAGAGGTAGGGGAAGAGGTTAGACAGATAGATATTAAGATGATGAATAAACTAAAGACAATAATAAAATAGATAAAAATGAAAGAGTTGAATTTAACTAGAGATAATAATAATCAAAGAATTCTTATGAAAAAAAAGGATCCTAAAGATAAGTACAATAAAAGGAAGGAAATGAGGATAGATAAATAAAATAGAAATTCAATAGAAATATTGATTAGTAGGAAGATTAAAATTAATAACCTGCATATAAAGAGAGGAATAATGTTAATTCAGAGAGATGGTAAAGAAATTAAGAAAAAGATTATGGAGATGATTAATAGTAATTTAGGTAGAATATACGTGGAAGAGGAAGAGGAAGAGAAAGAGGGAGAGGAGGTAGAGAAAATACATTTACAAGAAGAGATTATATATAAGATGAAGATAAAGAGAAAGATAGAGGAAATTAGAGTGAATAGTAAATAGAAACTGTTAGTATTGCAAAAAGAGTGAAAATAAATGAAATATAAGTAAAGAAAAGGGCATAGGTCTTAAATTTGGAATAAAAGAAAAATATAGATAATCTAATTTAAATAGCAGGATATAATTTTTAATTTTTAGGTATTTTAAAATCAGACTCAATTGATTTTTATTAAATTCTATTCAAAAGATGTGGAATTGAAATAATAGATGAAGAAAAGAAAGTAACAATTAGTCATTTAGATAAATAATTTATTTCTGCTTTTATATAAGAGCATTAAAATAATGAATATACTCTTGTGATATAATTTTAGAAAGAGGAAGAATCATTTAAGAATCTATTGATATTTTATAATGTGTTTCAGTAGTAACTTCCATAGATAATATCTGATATTTCAATGAAAGAGATAGTCTATACAAATTTTGAGAATGGATTACTATATACATTTTGTAAAGATGGATTGATAAGAATATTCTAATAGAATGAGATGGGATAATTCAAGTATATTTAACATTATAATGTTGAATAATCTATGGAGAGTGTTATTAAAGTTGGAAGTAATTACTTAATAGGAATGAGAAGTGGTTAATTATATTTATTTAATGGAATTATCATTACTGAAATCCCATATAAATTTACTTAGAAATGTACACAAATGATAATAGACTTCAATAGAGTAATCTTGAAGATGGATGATGAAGATTAAACATCTATATATATATTGAGTTAGAAATTAGAGATAATTGGACCTATTTATAATGGAGAAAAGGTTATTTGTTTAGAATTAATAAAAAGTTATGAAAGTGATAAATTGTTTATACTTGGACTTACTAATTCTGTTGAGGTCTATACAGAAATTGATAATAAATTGTATCTAATAAATGCGATATTGAATCAGAAATTTATGTAAATGAAAAAGATTGAAATTACTAATGAAAATATGGTTACTTAGAAATTTATTGTAGGAGAATATGATGGAGAATTGAAAATATTCAGTGTAGTACCTGATTAATGAATTGTTTATTTTAATTATGCTTATTTAATCTAAAAAATGTCATCCATAAAATCTGCCAATTAGAGCATATAAAGAATAAATTTTATATGGAATCGATACTAATAGTACATTGATCATCTTAGCTGAAACAGGGTCAGGCAAAACCACATGTACAAAATAATTAATAAATATTAGAGATACCATAATATTTAATAGAAGCTGGTTATGGTGGAGAATAGAGAGTTTTAGTATCATTACCAAGAAAGATGGCAGCTATTAGTATTGCTTAGAGAGTATCTGATGAAAATGGAACAGAATTGGGATAGGATATTGGTTATAGAGTGAGATTTGAATCGAAAGTGAGTGATAATACAAAGATAGAATATGTGACTGATGGAACATTGATTTAAATTATAATGGGAAATCCATTGATAGAAGGATATTCAGTTGTAATGCTTGATGATATTCATGAACGTACTTTGAATACAGATCTTTTATTGTGTTTAATTAAGAAGATTCAAAAGAAAAGACCTGAATTGAAAGTGATAGTTTCATCTGCAACAATGGAAGTTGATTTATTATAAAACTTTTTTCCTAATAGCAAAATAATTGCAATTAGAGGTAGGAATTATGAAGTTGATGTAATTATAATGTACAAAATATTTAGATTATGTATTTACTTGAACCATGTAAAAATTATGTTGTTGCTTCTGTAGAATTGGCATATCATATTCATAAAAAGATGCCTGATGGAGATATACTAGTATTTCTAACATCTGTTGAAGAAATACATGCATTTATTAATTTATGGTCACATCATAAGACTAATTGTGTAGTATTACCACTTCATGCTAATTTGGGCATTGATAAATAATTGTTAGTGTTTAAATAACATGCAAGTAGAAAAATTATAGTATCCACTAATGTGGCTGAAAGTAGTGTTACTATTGATGGAATAGTATATGTGATTGATTCATGTTATTAAAAAGTAAAAGTATATGATTATAAGAGAAGTATTCATAATTTATTTTATAAACTTAGATTTGGAATAATTAAATGTTTTACCTATTTCTTAACAATCTGGTGCTTAGAGAGCAGGAAGAGCTGGAAGAACTAGAGATGGAATATGTTATAGATTATGTACTAAAGAGGATTATTAAAATTTACCTAAGACTTTTCCACCTGAAATATTGAGATCTAATCTTACAGAACTCATTTTATAGATTAGAGTAAATATATCAAATATATAATTTATAGTCATTCTCATTAACACCCAATCATTTATAATGTAGTAATACATTCTTGACTCCTGTTTCTAATGAATAATTAATCAATTGTATTAATATTTTGATGAGTTTAAAATTAATTGATGAAAACTTTTCATTAACAGAATTAGGAAATGCAATAGTTGATTATCCATTAGAAACTTAATTAGCAGTTTGTGTTGAAAATAGTTTCTTGGATGAATATTAATGTTCAGATGAGATGTTAAAAATTGCTAGTGTTCTCAGTATTTAAGGAGGTATCTTTAGTAGTGATGCTACACCATTATAGATGTTAAAAGCTAAAAAAGCTTTGGGATGTAAAGAAGGAGATGTGTTATCACTTCATAACATATTTGTTAGATATATTAATATTGGAAATAAAGGAAATTGGTGTGATACATATAGAGTATCAAAATATAAATTAGAATCAGCTGGAAAAATATATAAATAAATTCAAAAAAGAAGAAAAAATAGATAAATTAAAAGTTCAATCCAAGATGTTGAGGCAGTCTTAAGATGTTTTGTTTCTGGTTTCTTTTCTTAAGTTGCACAACGAGAAAATACAGCAAGTGAAGGTGTTTATAGGAATATCTATACAAAACAATTAGTTCATTTACATCCTGCATCTGTTTTAACAGTTTCATATCCGGAATGGGTAATTTATCATGAGTTAATTGAATAAAGTAATATCAATAAGATAATTTAATAGATCATAAATTAACTATGCATAATGTTACTGAACTTGATCCACATTGGTTATTTGAAATTGCTCCTCATTTTTATAGAGATGCTAGATAAGAAATTGCAGAGATGAAACATTAATAAGAGAAGGATTAATTAGATAAAATAGAAGCTGAAAAATAGCAAAAGCAATAAGAATTGTTGATGAATTAAGAAAGTAAAGTAGTTTTTGGGAGCATCAAATAAAGGAAACCAGGATTTAAGGGATTTGGTTAAACATAATTTCCTATTAAAAGTAAAGAGTAAAGACTTGGTTCATTATCATTTAATGATGAGGAGGATTTCTGATTTTGATTTATGGTTTCTTTAGTTATTTTATTAAATTAATGAATATAGGTGAATAAATTGTTTAGAAAAAGAATGAATTTAATAAGTAAATGGAATAAAGAGATATCATTTAAGAAATGGATGATCATCTTAAAAATTTACATGAATCAGATGATGATAGATCATTTTATTAAATGTAATATGATTAAAAAGATATTCAAAAACTAATAACTATTATGTTAAAATATTATAGTAGATAAGAAGATTAAACATATTAAACTAAAAAATGTTTTTATTTTTACATATGGAAATACTTTTAAAATTAAGACATTTTTGAAAAAAATTGGGAAATTGAAAGAAAGGATTTAGAAAAATAAAAACGTTATCCATATAGAAATATGAAGAAATAACGAAAAATCATTGAAGAATAGATATTTGATTTGGAGAGAAAGGCATTCTTTTAATATAGACAAAAACAAATATTGATACAATTATTCAAAAATGCAGCTCGAAAAGAAAGATTAATCAAGACCATAGCTTTTCATAGATTTATCAGGAATACTGCTCTAATGAATTATGTTAGCAATTCAAAATATAATACAAATTAGAATACCTTTAAATCAACTGTTACTTAAATTTAATAAAATAATGTTATTTATTAGAAGGAAAATAAATAAAAATCTAGATCAAAATCACCAATAAGTAACAATAATTCCAAGGTTTCCCTATCTACAAAATCTTAGAATTCTAGAAACAGGGCTGTTTTTAGAATCTTGATTTATCTACAAAAAGTAGATGATAGATTAAAAAATAAAGTTTCAATATTTTTCTATAAATGGATTAAGAATATTATGTATATAAGACAACTTGAATAGATTGAAGAAATCAACTCAATTAATGTAATACTAAATTAATAAGTTTTTAAAGAAAGTGTATTAAGAACATAAATTTAATTAATTAAATCTGAAATAGATTCAAAAACATATCTTGCATAAGAATTACTCAATTAATTATTAAAATGACTTAAAATTGTTATTCTTTTTATACAATCCAATTATATATTTGAATTAATATATATTATAAAAGTTTCAATTTATAGAAAGTTGAGGAACCTTAAAATTAGTTAGACTTCCCAATTTCATTTCTTAATTTATAGTTCTAGGACTCATGCTTTTGAAATCTGCAAACTCATTATTGTTATTAGCTACTAATTCATCTATTTACTAATTAATATTGAAATTATTCTATCGAGCACTTACAATATCAAATTTCTTAATTGAACCATATAAATCTTCAACTTGCCGTGTAAACCTTAAAGGATTAATCAATATTTCTGTTATGTCCAAAAATTTATCAATCATAAGAGATTAAGTTAGATAGAATTATCTTGCCTTTCCTGATTTTATGAGTCTATAGAATGTCAAAATATTAGTAATTTTATTCTTAGGAGTATCACATGTATTAGTATTAATATTATGTTATTGGTGAGTTAAACAATTAATCAAATAAAGTCTATAAAGAATTGATTAAATAGGAAATAGAACAATCTCAAAAATAACTCTAATGATTGTAAAAAAACCACCAATTTTGGCTGCAACATCCATTAACGTTTGATATGTAATGAAATGAATCCTCTTTTTTGCATCTAAATTTATTTCTAATTGAGCAAAACTGCTATCATCTTCAAAATTTAAGGCTGTATCGATTGCTGTATTTTAATATTCAAACCCATCATGTTAGGCATAAGAAGGGAAGAAATAAAAAGGGTTATACTCTAATTAACTTTAAGAGTATTAAAAATAGATTTTAATATATTTTCGTACTTTGTAATACATGGGTGTAACATCTATATTTTATGCATTTTCATAAGGAGAATCATCTAATTCTTTGTTAAATTGATGAAAAGAATAAGAGTAATAAAGGTTTGCATTTTTAATATATTAATCAATATCCTCACTTGGTGCACAATCTAATTAAATTATAAATTTTACCATTATAATCTGTGCTATTCTGACATCTTTAGACTAATGCACCTAATAAAGTAAAATTATCTTATCTAGTTGATCCTTAAATTCTGATTTCTGGGTTTTCCTTAATATATTCTTCATCCATACAGTAAGTAATATCTTCATAACCCTTTGGTATGTTTAATTACTAACTTACGTAGTTATTTTACTTGTGAAACTTGTTGAATTCTGTTACCACATATTGTTCCTGGAATATAAATACATGCAGTTTCATCTAAAGACTTATTACAATAGTAGTAACTAATAGTGAATACTCTATTATTATCATTAGGAATAGGTTATCCCAGATTGTCTAATAATCCTACAGCAAAGATAAGTTCAGATGAATTAAAAGTATAACCCTAAATTATTTTTAGAATTTATTACCTCTTCACCAGATATTACAGCATCTTTAGAATTAAGTATTGCATTTTTTCCTTTATTCATTTCTAAAATAAAAGAATTACAAGAATAAGCAAGAATAGTAAACAAGGCCAAAGTCATAAATGCTCCAATGTTTGTTCTAAAAGCTGATTAACCTGTAGCCAATAACCTGATTTCTTAACCGAAAATATCAAATCTTTTAAAGTTTTCTGAAACTTGATTCATCTAATTTTTATGATTTAAATCAAAATTTGAAAGGATGCTTAAATAATTAGAAATTGAATAACGATTTTACCTAAATGGAATATGAGATTAGCTTTATGATGATTAATTAAATTGTTGATATAAATGAAAGTGAAACCATCAGTAAAATTGGCTAAATAATATACATTTTGTTTATAAAATATTAAATCATTAATAAATTCTAAAAGTAGCATCAGAACCGCAACTAATAATCATTTTGCTATTGTAATCAAATGCAACATCTTAGACAGCATCTTCATGTCCTTTCAAAGTGTGTTCTTACTAATTAATAAGTAAATAAAGATAATACTTTCTATGTGGTTTCATTATAAAGTCTGATTTATTGATCATCAGATCCAACAAGAAGAATAGTGCCACTTTTATCAAGTGAAACAGCATTAGCAGAATAAGGACCTGCATCAAATTATGATCTTCCTTTAACCATTCTGACATCCCACATTTTAACAATTCCATCAGCATCACAACTGGCAATACTATCTCCTTTTAATGAAAAAGTGGCATGATTAACACTATTCAAATGACCATAGAAAGTTTAAACACATAATCCACTTCTAATATCCCATAATGAAATAGTTTTATCAGCTGAAGCAGAAGTAAAAATGTTAGAAAATGGTTAGAAACTTACATGATTGACAGAATCAACCTTTAATAATAAATTAAATAAAATACATGTCCTCTAAATGTATGTCTAGTTTTACCAGAAGCTAAATCGAATACTTTACATGTATGATCCATACTAGCACTTACAATAAATTCTCCAGTATCATTAAATTTAACACCCCAAACAGGCTAAATGTGATCTTTAAATGTATGAGTGCATGAAGCATTAATGAAATCCCAGACTTTAATTGTACAATCACCTGATGATGTAGCTAGATGACTTCCTTTAGGATGAAAATGTATTCCACTGACCCAATCTTTATGGCCTTCTCCAGACATAATTAATTCACATTATGGTAATGTCCAAATCTTCCAAGTGAAATCATCTGATGCAGTTGCAACTATTGATTTTTTTGGATGCATATCCATAGATGATATTGCCATCATATGTCCTTTCTATGTTTTATTTAAGATAGCATTTCTGTAATTTTGTGGTTCTATTTGAGTACCTGCATAAGGATTAGGTCTATCATCAGGAGGGAATGGGGTATTAGCTTTAGTAGATGCTTTCTTAGTGTTGGCCTTTGTATCAACTAAAGGAAGTTTATCTGTAGGACTTCCTGGTTCTTTCTCTTTGTTAATCTTTTCTTCAACCTTTTTTAATATTTAACTTTATAAATTTACATTTTATAAACTTCTTTAGAGTGCATCATTTTTTGCCACCAATCTATCTCTTTCTAATTTCAATAACATCTTCTCTTTCATAGCATGTGAATACTTTTAGGATAGTTCCTCATATTTGGTCTCATATTGTAGATGTAATCCTTTTAATTTATCAATATCATGATTCAATTTCCTTTTTTCTTATTGAACTCTATGATGATGCATCTTATGGAAATCTCTTTCTTTTCTCAATTTATCATAAGTAGATTTGGCATTTTCAGCAACAATTTTAGCTTTATCCAACTCTCCTCTTACATATTTAAGTTCTTCTTTGAGTTTTTCATTTTAAATATAAACATCTGTTACTTGACCCATACCATCTGTAGCCAATTTACCTTTCTATGAGAGTTCATACCATTCTTACTAAGAATAATTAATGATATAAAATACTTGAAATACTTCTAGACTTCGATTCATTTGATTCTTAATGAGGAAGTTACGAATAAAGTCATCGACCACTTCCAATCTATTTACAAGACCTGGAATTTTTAAATCTTAAGTTTTTGTTATTGGTTTAGGTATATAATCTTCCTCTAATTAATTATAGAATAGAATACTTACTTTTAACATCAGTTATAATCTTATCTAAATCATTGAGATTATCTTCTTCGTGTTTGATATCATTCAAATCATCCAAATCCTCCAAATCTTCAGGTTCACTCTCACTACTCATTTCAATCTCTACATTATTTATATTATTGTCTTACATTCAATCACAAAAAACTAATTAGCACTTTCCTCAGCTTTATTCATTTTAATATTTTATATATATATTTATATGATATAGTAATAACAATAACCTATTTAAGATCAATAATAACCAGTCTAAATAACTACTGAATATGCATTTAAATCAATACCATAAACTAAATGTGTTTATCATCCTAAGTTTATAACACATTTTTGCAAAAAAACAACATGTTTAATGCCTCTATGTGAAACTTGTTTAGAAATTCATTCTCCTCAACATTCCAAATTTAGTAAGTTATATTTTAACTCTATTATACAGTCGACACTATCTAAAACACTCTAACTGAAGTCTATAGGGGTTATGCCAAAAGAGCCAATGAAATTGCAATGCATTAAAGATATGATTTTTTGTAATTACGTTAAGATCTTCATAAGTTGATTGATGCCATTTTTGAAGATCTTCTCAGAAAGGCTGATTAAAATTATCAACCAGATTTAGTCATTGAATGGAGAAATCTAATCTCTAAATTGGAAAAACTCAAAGATTCTCAGTCTTGTATGAAAGAAGCAATTTTATATTTTGTTGAACCAGACCAAGGGTATCATAAACCTTAATTAACATTTTAAAATAATCCAATCAAAATAGATCAATACTAATTATAATAAGCAAAATACCATTTGAATAGATTATTTACAATAGATTTCAATAATGAAGAATATTTAAACTATAGCAATTATGAATGGCAGAATGAAAATCCTATTAGAGGAGCTTCAAGCATTTTAGATTATTCAGAAGTTTATTAAATAAATAATCATTCAGATAATAAAATAATTAGTAATAATAATAATAATAATAATAATAATAATAATAATAATAATAATAATAATAATAATAATAATAATAATAATAATAATAATAATAATAATAATAATAATAATAATAATAATAATAATAATAATAATAATAATAATAATAATAATAATAATAATAATAATAATAATAATAATAATAATAATAATAATAATAATAATAATAATAATAATAATAATAATAATAATAATAATAATAATAATAATAATAATAATAATAATAATAATAATAATAATAATAATAATAATAATAATAATAATAATAATAATAATAATAATAATAATAATAATAATAATAATAATAATAATAATAATAATAATAATAATAATAATAATAATAATAATAATAATAATAATAATAATAATAATAATAATAATAATAATAATAATAATAATAATAATAATAATAATAATAATAATAATAATAATAATAATAATAATAATAATAATAATAATAATAATAATAATAATAATAATAATAATAATAATAATAATAATAATAATAATAATAATAATAATAATAATAATAATAATAATAATAATAATAATAATAATAATAATAATAATAATAATAATAATAATAATAATAATAATAATAATAATAATAATAATAATAATAATAATAATAATAATAATAATAATAATAATAATAATAATAATAATAATAATAATAATAATAATCACAATAATAATAATAATAATCACAATACTAATAATAATAACCATCATCCTTAGAATCTTATTACTTAAACTTAATTTGAATAGAGTCCCATAAGATTGGTGCTGCCTATAGATTAATAATACGTTATTCAAAGTCCAAATGTTATTCAGTATGCATAACCAATCATTCGAACTCCATACACAGTACCATCAGTTTATACAGTATCAACGGTGAGGCCTTTCAAATAGGTAATCAAAATTTCTAATATCTTCTAGAGTAGAGAATTCAGTTATGCTCTTTCTTTTGTCTAATGATTGAAGGGATTTTTGATTAATATGATACAAATTTTAATAAATCATGAATAGTAAAGATTATATCTTTTAATTTGATACTGTTGTAATTCTTTTTATATAAAAAATATTTATTAATATTTCAAATCGTTGAGAAGTCATAAATTTTATAATGGGAATTGATGTTTTATGATTTTGATGTTTATTGAAATAATTAAATCACTATTTATTTTTTGATGAAAGGATTGTTTGTCCTCATAAATATATATGTCACAATGGGATTATTGATTTGTAAAGACTAATAAGGTTTAACTTTGCAACTTGATAAATCCATAAAAATTCCTAACTATAATTGCACTCTGAATATAAGTAATGATAAACTAATTAATATGACATCTTTTGGAGGACAACTTAAAATTACAGGAACTGAATTATTTTTGAATTAACACACTCTTTTGCATGGTTTCAGGTTAGTTGAATTTCAGAATATCACAATTAACACATAAACCAAAATGCTATCAATATCAACTTAAGTTCATATGAATAATGTTACTCTTGTAAGTAATTTCTAAATCAATGCAACCAAAATATTTATTCGTTAGAGTATAATGACTAAGATGAATTTCTAATACATATCAGTGTTTAATTCACCTATAGATGTAGATGGAATGATTATATCAAACTCAACTTTTTATAGAAGTTCTCTAGTTGAATAAGAAAGTAGATTACGAAATGTTATATTTGATTAAGTCAACTTTATCAACTCAACATTAGTTACAGTTGTTTAACTAAGGAGAATTACATTTAATAACTCATATGTAATTTAAAGTATTTTGATTGTTTCAGATATATCTTAAGAAATAATCATTCAAAATTCATACTTTACTCTTTCTACAGCTTTACAAGTCAATGGAGCACTATACACAACCATTATTAATGTAACATTATCTTAAAGCCATTTAATGAGAATGCAAAGCAATAATTAAATATAAATAATTGGAAATATATTTCATTCTATTATATCAGACTCTCAATTACTGATTGCTGATAGTCAATATATTTTAATGCTAAACACTAGTATAATTAATGTTCAATCAGAAGTACTTTTATTTTCTAATTCATAAAATATTCTCATCAAAAAGTTTAAATTGAAGGGGCTTTAAGGAAGTTTGATGATGAATAAGCATTCTTCCAGTAATGTCATTATAAATTAATTTACAATCTAATCAAGTGAATCAATTAATCCCTTTTTTTCTATTAATGGCACTTTAGAAATTTATAAAGGAAATTTTGATTCTTTTTTAGGAACAATATCCAATTCAAATTCAATTAAAGAACTTTTAATTGATTAAGTGAATTTTACTTAGATATCTAATTCAAATTTATTTAAATTAAAATAGTCCTCTTTAATTTAAATAACCAAAGTGCTTGTTAGTAATTGTACATCAATCTAAATAGCAAAATTATCAAATATTGTAAATGTGATTATAAAAATGGTTATAATATATGATTGTGAGGAATGCAATTTTCTCTAACTTAATAATTCAAAAATTGAACTTAACTTAATTAAATTATTCTAAATAAGGAACTACTTGATTCCCTTAATTGTTATTAAAAAATCAAACATCAAAATTAAGTAGAATCAAATATTTAATATTACTTAGAATACTAAATAAGTTTTAAGAATTGAAGATAGCTCAAGGATAATTTTATATGATTTTTAATTGTTTGATATTGATTGCTAATTTTGTGATGGGATTGTAGTAATAAAGAATAGCTATTATACTGATATTTAAAAATGCAATTTCAAAAATTCCATATCTTTGTTAGGCAACATTATTGTTCAAAATAATGTTAATTTAATTGCTTATGAAAATGTATTTTCAAATCTCACTGCTAATTTAGGATCAGGTTTTGTGATAACAAATTCTTCTGTTAAAATCTTCTAAAATTAATTTAATGACTTAAAGTCTTTAGATGGTGGAGTAATTTACTTAAACCAAACTGGAAATACTTCACATTATATTGAATTTAATGAATATATAAACTGCAGTATGAAAAATAATAAATAGATTCATCTAATAACAAATTAAATTGTTGAACCTGATATTTATACTTATATCACTGGACCTGTTTATATTATCTTAAAGAATACAACTTATTTACTAGATGATTTAATTAAAAAGAACAATTTAATACAATACGATAAATTAAAGAGTGGATAAAAGATTGAATTCAACATAGCTATTTTAGATAGTGGAAAGAATAGATTATGTAATTTAAAAAATTATCTGACATTCAATTATAAGATATTTCTATTCAATTCTCAAAAATGTTAATATGAAATATTATATCAGTATTATCAAAGTTCACCTAAAAATGAATAAATAATATTACAAATAGAATTCCCATAACTTAAATTTTATTTTGATATAGTTAAACTATCAATTTATTTAAATATGATTGAATGTGAGATTGGGGAAACTTGGATTAATTAAACATGTTTAAAATGCCCTTCTGGAACATATAGTTTAATGAACTTCAACTAATGCTTATAATGTTTAACATAAATTGAATCATGTCCTGGAGGGTCGGATTTAATAATTAAATAAGGTTATTGGAGACCCAACAACTAAACTGATTAAATAGAATATTGTGGAAAATCTTAATCTTAATGCTTAGGGGGAGCATAGAATTTCACATGTGTTGAAGGTTATATTGGAGCATTATGTAATGATTGTGATTATTATGCTGTTTAATGGAATGTTTCATATACAAGAAATTAGAGTGGAAATTGTTAATTATGTTAAAATGATACATTTAATATATTGAAGATATTTCTATCATTTTTATGGATTTTAATTGCTTTATTTATATCAGTTAGAGGCAGTCTAAAATTGGTGAGATCATAATTATCAGCATATTATCTAAGGATGATGGGAATGTTCTTTGCAACAAGATCTAATATGATTTTTGATAAAACAGAAATTCTGATGAAATTAGTTTCTAGCTATTTTCAATTGATTTCTATAATTTAAATAATTGAATTTGATTTCCCATCACCAATAGTATTTTTAGTTTAGATGATAGGAAATCCATTATCTACATTTGGATACTCTATTGAATGTTTTCTATTATAAACTCATATAGATATAGAGATTGTCTATTTAAGATAACTTTGGAATTTATTTATTTCATTATTATTTGTAATTTCATTTGTATTCATATACTCAATAATATAATTATGTAAGAAAAATAAGTTGGAAGATTAAACTAAGACTGTTTTTATAACTTGTTTCATTCAAGTCAACTTTTACTTTTAAGGGGACATTATTGAAGGATTATTGAAATTGATGTTCTGTATTAAGGCTTCAGGTTAATACTATATTTAAGCTGCCACATCATATATTTGTTATACAGATCAGTACTATTAATATTTAAAAATATTTATAATCCCAACAATACTGATAGTAGGAGTGATATCCCCTATTTTTTACATAATGAAATTGTATATGAATAAGAATAGGTTGTGGACTTGCATGTTGAGAATGCCTTATGGTTATTTATATGTGGAATATAAGGATAGATATTATTATTGGGAATTCATTTGTTTTTTTGAGAAATCAATCTTTTATCTATTAAAGACAATATTAATTTAAGATATTAAATTAATGTTCCTTTTAGCAATATTAGTATTATTGATTTACTTAGAGTTTTTAATTCAACATTAACCCTATATTGAGAAACAATACAATTATATTGATAAGATATCCACTTAATTAGCCATGATCACCTTGATTTGTTCTTACAGTCAACACAAGAATTCATATGGTTGGTTAGTGTATATAATATCAATAACATGTTCATGTCTTAATCTACTCTATTGTTCTTATATTACAATAAAAATAATTAAGGAATATTTGTCTGGATTAAAACAGCAAAACATAGAAAAGATAATAAATTTAATAATACGATATCCTTGTATTAAATATTTTATCAAGAAACCTAAAAATTTTCATGCAAAATAAAAGGCATGTTTATTATGGAAAAAGGCTAGAGTTTACGTTTTAGAATTCATAGGAAAATTGAAGTTACAAAAATAGAATATTGATCTTAATTCTTAAATATAAATTAATTCCAATAGACCAAAAACATCATCTACAATGATTACAATAAGTTTATTGAATTCAATTGCACCTCAATTAGTCAAATATATGTATATCAATATATTTAAATATATTATAGAAAACTTGATAGAAATTAAATGAATTAGAGAGTAATAATGTAGAATGAATTTACTAATGTGATATCAGCATATATTAATCCTGAAAATCCTTAAAATCTAGATATTATTGAATTGCAAGAGAAGAGTAATGTATCTACTATATCTTCAATTTTCAATTATATAAATAATCATAATGGAGAATGATGTTTAAATTACTATATATTAATTAAATTCATTTCATTTTGATTTCTTATTTGTTTGTGTTTATAATTATTATTTTTATTAGAATTAGAGATCTGCTTATTTAAGTTTTTAGACATATTTTTCTACTCTTTCTATTTGGTCATTTAATACTGTCCATTAAAATGTCTGTTTGTCTATATTAATAAATAGATTGTACCCTTTAAGTCTTTTTTCATATCTTCTATTGATTTATTAATTTATTCTTGCAATGGTTATATTTTACGTTCTAATTCTTTATAATTATTTTTATTAGCACTTTAAGTATCAAGTATAATATGATTCATATATTCTAATTACTAAACACGTAAACCAAGATTATCTAATTCTGCATTAATTGATTTTTTAAATTAATCTTCTTCTGCAGTATCAATTGTTTCACTTAAAGATTCTGCTCTAGAATGAGCTATTTGATGTGAAAAGTGTTTAACAAGTACATCCTACATATTTTCTATATCTTAATGCATACGAGTAAGTTTATCATTAACCTATATTTATTTATTATAATACTTCTTGCATAATGGAATTAAGTTTGCATTCAAATAATTCTTCAATCAAATTGATAATCACATTAATCAATTCTTCTTTAAATTGCATTATTAAAATTATTAATGAGTTTTTCTACAACATGTGAATTCGATCACTCTAAAAATATTCATCGTAAATTTAATACTCTACATATCTCATCAAGAAAACATATAGATCCATTAGTAACTACAAAACCATTCGAAACACGTAATCATGGATAATAATTTGAATAACATTTTGCTCATTACTTAAAAGGTGACTTAAATCTATAAAGATTAATTCAAACACTCAATTATCCAAGATTAAATGCTGAACAATAACTCTAACCTAAACATAGAATGACTCTTAAAATACGTCAATAAACTGAATAAAGAAAAAATTATCTAAAAAGTAAAATTGTCAAAGTTCGCAATCTTATCAAAGAGAAAGTAGCTATTAAGAAACCTCATAATGAAGAAATTAGACAAGGCAATGCTTAAACTCTTACTATAGTATAAACTATTTTAGACATTGCTAATCATAAAGAGAATTCTGGAGGTTATTAAGAGAAATTAATACCAAAAACTAAAAACTTAAAATAATATAGACTCAATTATGATAATGTTGAACCAGTTTGTAAATTACAATAATAAGTTATTTAATCAATCCCTCCAAGATCCTATCTTAAATCTGTACTTGAAAATAATGCTTAACTCTATCTCTAAGAATTATAAGATCAAGCTGAATAACATGATAATAATATCAATAAGATTGTACGTCTAAGTATCTAAACAAAATAGAATGATTTTACTCTATTTCATAAAGCAGCTAAAACTGATCGTAGAAATTAAGATGGAATCTTAACACATGCTGATGTTTAATTGTATGATTATTTATACAATAAACCTAAGGGAGTCATGATTCAAAAACATCCTAAATATATTTAAAATGTTATTGATTCTGAAGTTGATTTTAGAAAGAACTTTGGTAGAAAAGTACTTACTCATCGTCACAAAAGAACTCATTATAATTAAGATCCACCTGATAATCCTGATGATTCTTGTGCTTCTTCTTTATAATCTGCTTGTGAAATTAAATTAGATAATTATTATGCAGAAACAAGAGAATGGAAACGTAAATAATATTTACAATTACCCAGACGTATCAAATAATTGATTGCCTTAGAAGAATTGAATTAGTAATTCTCACCTATTCATCTAGGAAAGCCATCTATACGACAGTTAATAAATTAGAAACTTAATGACAATAAACATGATGACAATTTAATTTTTAACGTTTAATAAATTATGTTCTTAAAACGAGAAGCTCCATAAAGTGCTAACAAATTCAACTCAAATAGGTAACTATTATGATCTATCCATTCAGAAAGGACACACGTGTATAAGTACCTTCTTTTGAGAATCTTTAAGCAAGAATTAGAGACTTCTCTTATTCCCGTCTATCCAATGTTGTTGCCACTTAACCATAAAGAAGTGAACCTACTTATTCCCCTTATAAAGCTTAAGGTCTTTAATAAAAGTATTTAATACATTAATAATCAGAATTACTGATACTTTAGGACCACGAACTAAATCATTCAATAGTGGACATAAGTGGAGAGAATCATTCCAATCTCCTTCCATATCTTCATAATCTCCATTTAAATTTGTATAATCTCCACCATAAATCAAATACAGTATAGAAACTGAATCATATACTAAACCATCTGATTCTTTTAAATATGATTCTTTTCGTACTTCATCTGAATAATTGAAAAAAAGATAAGGACGTAGTCTTGCAGATGTTGTTTAATTGAATGAAATTGTTGCACTCAGAAATAAAATTGAATCATCCTATGTTAGCAGAAGTTCATTGACTTCTACTTATGTGAGTGAACTAGTTAAGTTAGCTTAAGCAATAACTACTACATTAAAAAATGAATGATTATTTTTAATATACTTTAATAATTCCATACTCATATTATTCATATATATATATATATAACTTCTTATTTACTATTTCTAACAATATATATAATAATTAATAAAATATTAATTTAATTCTTATAAAAATATATTATAATACAGTTTATAATATGTTAGTTAAATAATAAAAAATATAAATTAATTCAATCAGCACAATCATCGATTCCTCCAGGTGATATAGTGTATTACTCTTCTGATTCTGGTAAACATGGAGAATCATAAATTTTGACTATCCTATTCTCTCCTCTCCCTTTTCTCAAATATAATCTTGTTGTTGAAGCATGAGCCATAATGTTTCCTCCTATTGGTTTTTTTTGATCTCCCATTGCCATCATTGTACCTTCAACTTAACTCATCACTTAATTAGTTATTACAACTGCTACATTGAACTAAAAACTTACTATAATTATACTTCATCCGCCAATCTCTATAAATTCCTTAAGAATTTACCTAAATGATTTTATCTTGCTGATAATTCTCCTCTACCCAAATAATCTGTTCTGTACAATGCTGTTGCACTATCTACTATCAATAAAGCATATTTATCAGTAGACATTAAATTACATGCTTGAACTAATAACTTCATTTATTCATCTACATTATAAGCCCTTGCAAAAGAAACATTCTCTAAGACCTCTTCTATTCCTAATTCAAATCTCTTAGCAATTTCACTTAATCTCTCAGGTCTAAAAGTTCCTTCTGTATCTATATATAAACATTTGCCTCCTGGTCTTCCTTTTGCATCATTCATTTGACAAGTTACTGCTAATGTGTGACAAATTTGAGACTTCCCTGTTCTAAATTCACCAAATATTTCTGTTATTCCACCAGTTTCTATACCTCCTCTAAGTAATTTATCAAATTTAGTGCTTCCTGTTGAAATATGTACTATTCTTTCTCTCTATTTTAAAACATCTGTAGCTGGTTTAAATTAGTTTACTACTAATTTAGCAACAGCCTCAACTAATTTTTCAATCTTGGCATCAGTCATGCCTTTAATATTCATTAAATTCTTTTTTGCTGTATATGCAATTGATTCACATGTTGTAAATCCTGCATCTTTTAATCTCTATATATCTACTGCACCAAATCCTGGAATTGCTAATTTTTCTAAAGATGTATAAGAAATCACATCTTCAAATTCATCCTCCTCAATCTGTTCATTTTATTACTTTTGCATATTTTATTTTACTTCAAATTTAAATTATATTTTATGTGAAAAATATGTTTAAATTACATTCTTATTTATAATAATAAAAAGATCTTAATAATTATCACCATTAATCTAGAATTTAAGTAACATTTATATTATTTCATCAAATCAATAATAATAAATAAATATTTACTTAAAATTGTAACTAAAATCTTAATTTTCTAAAGGATATAATTCTATTTTAATAATTTAAATTATCATTATAATTTCTCAAAAATATTCATATTGAGTATATTATTACATTATATTACCATAAATCAAAAAAGATTAAATTCTCTAATCATAAAAAATATTAATTTTATTAAATGTATTGAATTATTAATAATAGTTGTATAATCTAAATGTGAAAAAAACAAAATTATTATTAAATTTAATAATTCAAATCTAAATCAATTTTTATCTTAGATATTTAGCAGATATATTTTTCTTTAAAGCATGACTAGCTCTTAAATCTAAATATTTTGTATGTTAATTTAAAGAAATTGTTGATATAGTTTGAATTTATGATCTAATTGCTTATAATTTCTCTTAAAGATTTAATTTCCAATCAATTTATCTGAAATAGAATGGAGATGATCTCAATATTTCTATTAAAAATTTAAGGAGAAAAAGTACATTCCTCTAGATCTTTTTGTAACTTAATAGATTAAGACTCAATTAATTCAGATGATTATCTTCCTCTATTTACAATAGTTTTAGACATAAAAGCTATGATTCGAGAATTGGAAGTGATTTAGGGTGAAAATGGACATGATAGTTAGAATTTAGTTTCCAATTAATGAATCAATTATTATTGTTTTTCCTTTTTGTGTTATAAAAATTATTAACCTAATATATACATGTCAATATTTGATTGAACAGTTTTTTCGATTAGAGCTTGCGCATGTAAGTAATTACAAACAAGATGAAGAAGAAGTTGATTAAATTTGTTTGTTGAGTTTTTTTGGTTTAATTTTATTAAATGAAGATACAGTATGTTTTTAGTTGAATTCATTTGGAATGAGATCTATAAAACTTGAAGAATTGTATATATTGATATCATCAAAAAGAATAAATAATATAATTTAAAATCAATTCAATTTTAATTATTTTCTTTACTTGTCATATATTTCTTATTCTAATTCTCCACATACAATTTCCAATTAACAATTATTTTTCAAAACATCTTAAACTTTAGTTTCTAAACTATCCAATTTATATTTAACTTCATTCTTGATATAAAATCAATATTACCTATTCGTATTTTCTTTATGCATTTATATGATTTAATTCTTACTATTAATCCACAATTTCATTAGATAATCTATTCTTCTCATTTTCTTATGATTTTAATAATAATGCCCATGATTCTTTACCATATTTATTAAGTAATTCAGAATTAATAATGCTTAAAGAATATATGATTATATATTTACTTAATTTATGCATATTGATTAAGTAAATTAAATTACTAATTGGCTTCTTGAATTTCATGAGTTGATTAAAATTCTTAATTGATATTTGGTTTCTATTCAAAATCAATTTTAGATATTGGTTATTAAACTCTTTCAATTTCTGATTTCAATAAATCTGTTAATTTAGTTTATGGCATTGGCAATTCATGTAAATAATCCTGAGGATCCATATTTTACATTTCTTATTGAATCATACGATCTACCTTGTTTTTAATATATAAGATTCAATACTATAGTTTAAGTTTTGTTGTCTAATTCACCATCAATATAGGGTAATGTATTGATAAAACCTTATTATGGATGTCTATATACTAATGGTAATTTTGAAGAGGGTAGAGCAAAACTCATTTTAATATAAATATTGAAATGGATCTATACACTATTCCAAAAAGGAAACTTAATATCTTATAAAGGAAAAGGAATTAGACTCTATATGATTTCTAGATTAGTGGAAAGGCATCCTCTATAAATAAGAAAGTAGAAGATTAGAAAGTTTGTTCTAATAGATATAAGATATAAGATGAAAAGAAAAGTAAACATTAAGTAATTATGTGTGATCTATTTGAAAATGTTCGGATAAATAGAAGTTTAAATTTTTAGAGTTAGAATAACAGTTTCAATAATTATTAAACAAGATTGTTTACTCCAGAGACAAGAATATTAAAAAAGCGAAAGAATGGTAAGGTATTATTTCAATCTATTTCTCGTTAAAATTCTCCATAAAGAACATTTGATTGTCCTGTTGTGTTAAATATTACATCATATTTGTATAAAAAAGAACCTAAAGTTAATGGGAGGAAAGTGATTAATTTGAATATGTTATTAGATGATTATGAGTAGAAAGCATTTTTTTCTGGTAAAAGATAAAATTAATTTGAGTTTCTATATAATTATTACTAGTGATTATAAAATTTAATGGAGAATGATTAATTTGCTCCAAAACCTTATAAAAAAGAGCTCTTTATTTTTAAAGAGTTTCTTGATGGTATGAGAAATCTGTGCGATAAGTATCAAAAAATATTGCCACATATAAAACAAATCAGAAAGAGACCTAAAAAATATAAAAAGAGAATTAAAGATCCTTAAGCTCCAAAAATGCCATAATCAGCATTTATCTTTTATTTCAAAGCAATGAAATAAACATTTTAAAAAGAAAATTAAGGTAGAATTTAAACTAAATATTTAGGTAAGCAATTTTAAGAAATAACATCATTAATAGCCAAAAAATGGAATGAATTAACTCAAGCTGAATAAGAAGTATACATATATATGTATATAAATTTGTAGCCTTATCAAAAACTTTCTGAAGAAGACAGAAAAAGATATAATGAAGAATAAAAATAATATTCTGTTATCTCTTAATAATCATTTAGCAAATATTTATAAAAAAAATTTAGATATGATTAAAGAGATAGTGATAGAGAAGATATTTAACCAAAATAAGAAGAAGAAGAAGAAGATTCATTCGGAGGAAACATTATTTAAAATCATTCTTGAATTTTTATTTGATTATTTCTTAATTATATTAGAGATTATTTTATTAATTTATAAATCTATTATTTATACTTTTACCCCCCTAAATTGTTTTTGTTATGGAATTTCTATCTATATCTAAATTCTTATGATATTCCTATTATTTTTAATAAGATCAGAGTCTAAGTAATAACACTTTTATATAAAATATAAAGATGTATTTTAATATTTACTAATTAGATCATTTTCTATAGTGATAATATTTCATAAATTTCAACAATTCTTAACTCTTTAGAATTTATATTGAAATCTTTTACATTAACAATTATTCATATAATTTAAGAAATATTTATGATTTATATATGTTTTATTATCATTTTAAAATAAACTACTTTAATTGATTTATAGCTTCTTAATCTTCTGGAACATTTGTACTTTTTGTAAATTTGAATCTAGAATTACTATCTCCATCCACTAAATAACATTCTAAAAATACTCTTTTGAATTATGTCTTCCAATCTCTTTTCCATATCTAATGGTTTTTATGGAGAAATTGTATCAACATATTTATCAGACATTTATACTAAAATAGTCTCTTCATTTGTTTATTATTGTTGAGGCTATTCCATATGACGATCAACTATTTTATATGCTATCATTCGATCTAGTATATTTTGTGTATTCAGAAAGATAGATTTTTAAAGAGCAGCTTTATAATTAATTTTAGTATAGAATTTTTTGAAATTAATTTAAGCTAATCTTTGAGAATAAGAGAATAACCATTTAGAATTGTTCATTTCTTCCTAGGATGATAAAAAGGAATATAATTACTTTTTTAATAACTTATGTTGATTCCTTGTCTTTTGGATGCTAGTGTAAATAAACACAATCTTTGATTTTACATTATTGTCCTTTCAAGAAATTGGTACAGTATTTGGTGGTTCCAAAAGAGGCTTTGACCAATCTATCATGTAAAGGAAATCCTTCACAAGCCGATAAGTTATTGAAAAATGCTTACTAGTATGGCCATTGATGCTTCCTGTTCATTACGATATGTAATATAGGCTGCATGAGAAGGTGGATTGAAAGTATTACTCTAAATTACAATCAATTTTTAAATCTATCCATATTATCCAAAATATTCTGGTTTTCTAAGCAACTTGCCTAAAATGAAATAGCATACTTCCTCTTTGGCTAATGTAGGAGCCAAACCAATCACATAAATGAGATTTTTACAAATGACTCTTATTTCTCCAAGTAAACTTTTGTTCTGTAGATTTAATTCTCTAAAGTTATATAGAAATCTTGGAGACTCTTATTGATCATCACTATATTATTCATCTGAATTGTCTGAATTTTGCATTTAATTATTATATTATTTTAGATATCAATGTTCTTGAGCTGCTAAAATTTTATTTAAGGTTTCCTCCAACACTCCTAAAACATCATTTTCAGTAGCTTCCCTCTCTCTCTTCTCTTCATCTATTTCCTTCTTAATCCTATTCACAACATCCTTCAACATCTCAAATAAATTCTACTCACTCTATTATCTACTGATCTTTTCAGACTGTATTATCTATTACAACCTTAATAATTCATCATTCAACTTCCCATTAATATTTCTATCCATATCATCTCTCTCCTTTATGTTTTATTGCAGCATCTCTTATAACTATGGTAAATCACACTATCCTCAAATATATTCATTATATACCTCCAAACAACCATTTATCTCTTTTATCTATTCATTTCTCTCATGTTTCTCAGAATTTATCTGTTCTCGCAACTCTGAAATATCTTATTCTACTTTTTCATTGAATTTCTATTAACTCTCCTCTCTTAATTTACTAAGTTCTTCCAACTACTAATTAACACTCTCCTCTGCTTTTTTCATATCCTCAATCATCTATTATTCATCCTCTTATTTTGGTTCTTACTCTGTCAACACAGATTGAACATATTCTAATCCTTCCTTAATCTTTGCTACCTTTCCTTCTAAAGTTTCTCTCAAATCCTTTATAGCTGTTTCCATTATTTCTACTCTCTCCTCTGCCTCCTTTATTCTTTAAGTCTATCAAAATTATTATCTACATTATACTTGATCTTTCCTTCCCAAATGAATCTCACTCAATTAACCAACTATTTTCTCAGCCCTACTTCTAGTAGGAGAGTATGCTCTGCTCATCAATAAAATTTATTTAATCAAATTAAATTCTGATATACTTACTTATTACTAAACAACATTGTACTTTAATTATCTTTCTTTTTTTCACTTCACTAAATTCCTATTGTTTTCTATTATATGTAATTACAATATCATTATTAAATATAAATTTATCTTTAATATCAAAATTATGATGCTATAAAGATTATAAATTAAACCAACATTATTAAAGTCTCCAAAATTTACATTTAGATATAATACTTACTAAAAATAGGAATAATAATAATAAGGCTTTAATATTTAAGTAACATCTTTTATAAATTAGATTCACTTTAGAAATGTATTCTGTTTTCTTATATATAGTATATATAAAGAAACAAAGCATTAATTCTTTTAAGATTTAAGTTGAGATAAAATATAACAATCATTCTAAAGTAGATATTATAATTTCTCCTTAACGCTAATATAATTATTTTTAGATTTATTTCATATCATAAAATAAATATGAGAATTATATAAATTATTTAATTTACCTATATTAAAAGGTATTTAATTAAATTTGATAATTACTTACTTAAGTAGACATTTTTATATGATGCCTAATTCAGTAAAATATATATATATAATACAATTATTTATTATAAATTATTTATGACAGAAACAATTGAAAACTTAAGAGATTTTAACTATTTCAAATTAAACACCAATAAACATGTGTTAGTTGAATATATTTGGATAGATGGTACTGGAGAGAGACTGAGATCAAAAACAAAAGTGTACAATACTGCAATTTAAAGTCTGGAAGATGTTGAATGGTGGACATTTGATGGTTCATCTACAGATCAAGCAATCACAAAATTTAGTGAGATTTTCTTAAAGCCTGTTTGTATGGTAAGAGATCCATTTCGTGGAGATCCACATAAATTTGTATTATGTGAGACATACAAACCAGATCGTAAAACACCTGCACGTTTTAATTTTAGATGGATTGCTGAAAAAATAATGTAAGAAGCTAATGAAAGTGATCCTTGGTTTGGTATAGAATAAGAATATTTTATGTTAAAGAGAACAGGGACAACTCATTTATGGCCTTTGGGATGGCCAATAGGAGGTTTTCCATATTAATAAGGAAGATATTATTGTTCAATTGGTGAACGCAATAATTTTGGAAGAGCATTGTCTGAAGCACATTAAAGAGCATGTCTTTATGCTGGACTTAAATTATCAGGAATAAATTCAGAAGTAGCTCCTTCATAATGGGAATTTTAAATAGGAATTGCACATGGTATAGAGGCAGGGGATCATTTATGGTTGGCTAGATATATATTAGAGAGATTGGGTGAAGAATTTGGAATTGATATCAATTATGATCCAAAGCCAATTCAAGGAGATTGGAATGGCACTGGAGCTCATTGTAATTTCTCAACAACAAATACAAGAGAGTAAGGTGGTTATGAATACATTAAAGAATTTATGTTACCACTTTTAGAAAAGAATCATTAAAAAATGATGTTGTTGTATGGATTAAACAATGAAGCGAGATTGACTGGTAAACATGAGACTGGAGAATATAATCAATTTACATGGGGAGATGGCTCTAGGGGATGTTCTATAAGAGTACCAATAATTACAAAAGAATTGGGGAAAGGGTAATATATATATATATATTATATAATTTTAGGTATTTGGAAGATCGAAGACCTGCAGCTAATATGGATCCATATCTTGTATGTAGTGCTTTGGTTGATGCAACTTGTATGAATGGGAAGAATCTTATGACTCTTATTGAATAATTTGCTGAATCATTAAAGCAATTATGATTATGTTAGTTAATTCATATAATCATGAAAAAATTTTAGTTTTTTGACAAAAATATTAGATAACAAAGACCAGAATTGAATTTCTGTACATTCAATTATGTATTTGCTGAGTATATTAATCCAATATATTTAGATATATATGCTATTTAAAGAGGAAACATGGGAATGATTATAATGAGATGAATGCTAAGATGGAACAATTAGGAGTTTCTGTAGGAATTCGACTATATGAAGTAGTCAGTTTAAGAGAAAGAAATAAGAGGGAAACAAAATTAGTTGAACAATTGAGATTCATTTAAGGGATTGTAAATTAAATATGCAAATGTAGTTTTGGAAACATCTCTTTGGAAGACAAGCAGAATCTATTGAAAAATTGAAAGATAGACCTAATGATTATCTTATTAGAGATGAAAATCCTTTACTTCTTAAATATATCTCAGAAGAAGGACATATTTCACCTGCATAATTTATGTGTGGAATTCTAAAAGTATGAAATAATTAAAATTCTGTAAGGGAGTCTTGAATGCTTCTGGTTTTACATGTTAAGTTTCATATTAATTTAAGACTGATGAAAGAGGTGTAAGTTATTATCCTCACACTGTATTTATCTTGAGTTTTGAAGATGCCAGAGATTTATGAATTTAATATATTAAATGATATCAATTAATATAAATATTGAAGTAAAATTATTTTTAATTCATTTATTAAGAATTTTTATTATATGTTAATTATTTATATAATATATATATATATATGAAGTTGTAAATCTTCATAAAAATTTTATTTCTTTATTTACTTTCTCTATTTCATTACTACTTTCTAAATATAATAATGATTCCTAATAATATTATTTAGCTTCTTGTTTTCTTCCTAATTCTGCATGCACTTATCCCAAATTCTTTAATAGTTAACCCATATTAGGTATCTTAACTTTTGAGTTATAGACTCTCATCAATATTTATCTGCAATTTTCAAAATCTTAACAATTATACATTTCTTCTGCCAATTCAATTAATAAATCTAAATCATTTACTTCTGTTTATTCCATTCTTTATAAACATTATTTAGCCTATTATCCTCTTTTTTATTATAAACAATTTAATGCTTAATATCCCCAAACTTCACCATTAAATGGTTCATGAATACTTGCTTAACAAAGACATTCTTCAGCTATAGGATCATTTAATCTTAAATTTGAAATTCCAAGTCCCAACCATGTTAAAGAACTATTTGAAGGAACTTATTAATCTAAAGCTCTTTCAAAAATAGCTCTAGCATCATGCCAAGATTTACGTTTCAAATATAAATACCCCAATCTTAATAAAATATCAAAAGATTTCTTTTATTGAATAGATAAAGCTTTTAAAAAGGTTTCTTCTGCTTCATAAAACTGATCAGTTTAATAACATAAAGCACCTTTTATTAAATAGACTTCATAATTTTTTGGATTTTAATTTAAGATCTTTTAAATTAAAATAAAAGCTTCTGTATAATTTTCATTGAAAATATGAATCTATGCCTTTATGATATTTATCTTTTAAGTTGTTTTATCTTTAACATTTATAAGAGCTTTTTCAGCTAAATCAAATAGACTTCGAGATGCAAAATACTCTATTAATTCTAATTATATTTGATCTGTTTATTCTGGAGTTAACACAGGAGCCTTTTTTGCTTTTTCTTATTATTCAATCATTTGTTATTTGAAATTAGGTAAAACATGAGGATCTGGTTATTATTTTGGAAATCTTAATTAAATATATAAAATAATACCCTTTTGTTAATAAACCCATGGTTCTCATAAATATTCTTTAAGTACATCTGAGATATTTGTCTGCCATATTTTGATTTCCTTCCTGTTTATATATGAATGACATAAGTAAATTAAATAATGTATTAATAGGTTCCTTTTAAAGTAAAGCTTAAACAATATTAGTAGCTTCTTTGTATCTTTCTCTTCTGATATAGAGACAAGCCATCAATAATTCATTTTCTTTATTCCATTCTATATCTCTAACCATTTAAATTAATTATTCAGCTGCTTTAAATCTTTAAATTTTAAAACAATATTTAGCAAAAATAGTTGCTGATTTAGGATCCATCAATACCATATTAGTATAATATTTTAAAGCTTAATCAACTTAATTAATTGTTTCATATTATTCAGCAAATCTCTTAAATTTCTTAAATGCTTATTCTTTCAAAGATTGAAACACAACATCTCTATCTCTTTGATTTTAATCATATGTTGAATATAAATCTTCATGAATATCTTCTTTATTATTTAATACATATTCACCAAGAGTAGTTTACATTTCTTCCATCATAAAAACATATAATTCTGCAAATAGTCTATCTTATTCATCCTTATTAACTCCTACAAACAATCCTTCCTTAGAAAATTTATCAATACAAACTCTAATAATAGATGATCTCAATCTATCTTAAAGAATTTTGTATTTTCCTGATTAATTAATTTCATTAAGAAAGGATTCTTTCTTCTTTTATAATTCTTATCTTTTTTAAATTGTCAAATTCACACTAACTTTAGCCTTTTAATCACTTGGGTAAAGTTTAGAATATTCTTCATCTAATGCTTTCATAGCTTCTTTTATATCACCTATTATTATAAATAAATAAATACTTTGAAATTACCCAACACACTCAAATTTGCTTGGTATTCTTTAAACAATAACAGGTTCAATATTCAAAACTGGAATATCTTCAACTAAAGGAGTTAATGCAGGTTCTGTTTCTATTTCTACTTTAACATACATCTTATCACAATTATATTTAGGACAATCTGGATTATCTTCTTATTTTAAAAATGATCTAACAGTTGTATGTGTACATCCTGGTTCTAATAAATCTGATAAATCAAAAACACCCTTAAATATTATTTAAGTTAATTCAGCATTATTTAAATTTTTAGTCTTTCCTTTCTTTAATTTAGCTAATTCTTCTTCTGTAATAGCAGGTTATCTAATAAAATAAATAAAATTTCTATTATCAAGAATTTCTTCTTCTAATTAACGTACATTTTTTATTTCAATAGTATGTGTTTCTTCATATTAGATGCTAGTAGTTTTGTATTTGTCTTCTGAAATAAAATATAATTTATCCTATTCTTAAAGAGTCCCCAAATATTATTATTTTTTTAATTCTTCTTCTTCTTCTAATGCCAATACTTTCTTCATTTATTCTTCTTCCTCTGGACTTTTAGTGTCTTTTTTATTCTTTTTACTATTTTTCTAATACTCTTCAAATTTCTCTTTCTCTGTCAATTCTCGACCCTTGATTTTGCCAAATAAATCTTCCCCTTAATAACGAACAACATTTGCAAATATTCCTGGATTCGTTTCATCTGTTAATTTCCAATCTTCTGTAAATCCATACACTCCCTTTAATAATTATTTTATTGCCACTTTACTTTCACAGTTATATGTATTTTAAACAATTCTATTGGATTATTAACCTTCTCTAATAGAGACAATAATTTTGGATCTGGTTCCATTAAATTTAATTATTATTTATTCAAATCAATTATTAATTTCCTACAAACTCATATAATAAACTCAAACATAGTAGAAAATATTCAATTTTTATAATATCATAGTTTTTACAAACCTAAATTATCTTAGAATTCATCTATTTTTATGAATAATAAATTAATTGATAAAATCTATATCCATTATCATTTAGAATTTAATAATATAAACTCAAATAAAAAATTATTTTATATATCATCAATATCCTTTTGATTTTAGTAATTATTATACATTAAATAAATTCTATTATGAGTAGATATTAAATTTTTTAATATATCATACCTAATATATTTAAATATAAAGAATAATTAGAAAATTATATTAACAACAATTTAATAAAAAATAACACTGTTATTTATCTCATTAAACTTATAAATTTGTTTCTGCAATGAATGTTTTAATGGCCTCAATTAATTATTCCATATTCTACATAGTTAAAGCACCAATAGAACCAACTCTAAAGGTTTCTGCCTTTGTCATTTTACCTGGATATATGATGAGATTTTTAGCTGCAAGGTAATCATAAAATTCTATGAATATTAAATTATTTATTACAATTAAAATTAAATTTAGGATCTTTTGGAAATAGGAATGTAGTAATAATACAACCTTAATCTTTAGGATCAACAAATAATTTAAATCCTAAGTTTTACATCTATTAAGATAAATATTATTATAATTCTGTATATCTCTTTTATCTTCCTTTTATACTACCTTCTTCTTCAAATTCTTTAAGAGCACATTCAAAACATCTCAATACATGTGTAGGAGGTGTAAATCTGAATTATTATGTTTTAATCATATATTCTTCTTGATCATAAAGATCAAGCACTAATGAAGCAGCATTCCCTTTGCATTAAGATAATATTTATTTATTTGCAATGACAAATGCAAATCCAGGTAAACCTTAAATATTTTTATTGCTTGTAGATATTAAAAAATCTATATTTAATTTGGAAATTGGAATTTCATAGGCTCCAAATGAGCTAACAGCATCCAAAATGAATACAACTCTTCTACTTAATTTATGAATAAAGTCAATATCATTAATGATTCCTGAAGTTGTTTCAGAATGTACCATACTCAAATGAGTAATAGTTGGATCATTTTCAATAGTTTTAATGATATCATCTACTACACATTTTTAGTTTTCATCATATGTGAGTTTGACAAATTACTTATTTATTGCAGTTAATATTTTAGCTTATCTTTCTCCATATGCACCATTAGAAACTACAAGTACTCTATATTATATAATTAAATGATTACTTATCAGTTTCTCTTTTTAAAACTGTATGAAATGTAGCTTCAATAGCATATGTACCACTTCCTTATAGAAGTACTGCTGTATAGTCTTTTTCATCAACATTTGATAATTTCAATAAGGTTGATCTTATATTTTGAATAATTGAAATAAATTTTGGATCTCTTGAACCCATATCAACTAGAGCAGCTTCTTTAACAGTTTTAGTTGTCAAGAGAGGTCCTGGAGTAAAAAGAATTTACATTATTATTTAATTAAATGATTTATATTACATAGTATTGATTATATAGTGGATATATAATAAAGAATTAATTTATTAATTTATTAATTTCATTTGATGAAAAGAAAATAAGAACTTCAAAATGAGATACAAAAAATGATCTGTTCTATTTTAAATAAAGTAAAAAAGAATAAATAGTTGAAAGTGAATACTTACATAAAATAATACAAGAAACTACTTAAATAAGTTAGAGAACTTGAAATGTAAATTTATAAATGTCAATTCAAAATTTGAGTTCCTTATATATATATTTATACAATCAATTAAACATATTATAAACAACTTTTATTGATGATTAAGGCAAACATTAGATAAAAAATACATAATCTTGTTTAAAAAAGAATACATAATAAAAAATGATATAGAATTCAAGATAAGGATATTATAAAAATAATTGAATTAATTAAAAACAAAATATAAATAATCTGAATATATTATAAGATTAAGAAGTTCATAATATAGGTTTTAGAATGAATAATAATGTTTTTGAAATAAGGTTGTTATAAAATAAAATAAAATTTATTATATATTTATATGATTTAATAATGATAATGCGTGATTTGTATAATATAATTTTAATTGAGATTACTTAACATAAAAATTATACCTTTATCAATTATTCAAAATCTTTTTAGCCAATTAACTGAAGCCGTAAAAACCAAGAAAAATTACCATACTGATTAAGAAATTTGTAAAATAATCATCTTAAATTATTTCTTGATGTCTCCTTGATTATCTTTAAGTCTATTATGGAATTTCTTAGGTATAAGAACTAAAAAAGGGTAAGAAATTCATCATAAAAAATCCAATAAAAAAAATAAGCATAAAACTTCTTGCATTAGCTTATTGACCTTATCCTAGATTAAAATTAGACATCATCATAAATGGCATACCAAAACTAAAACCAAATTAAAAGTTTCCAAATTGTTAATTTTGTTATTATTATTATTAATTGTTCTATTCTTGTCTTGGATTTGTAGGTCTTTTAGGGATTTCTGATTATTTTGATTCTTTTGAGTCTCCTGTAAAAATAGTTGTGACTTTGTTTAATTCAAAAACATTTGAACAATATGGACATTATAATGGATTCTTCTTTTCTGCCCACTAATAATAATTGTTAATAAATTACAGTATAGAGACATTACCAACAATAGAGATGTCCACATGGAGTGATAACTGGCTCTGTTGCTAAGTCTAGACATATTTTGCATTAAAATTTTTTGTACTTTTCATCATCTTATTTCTGACTATTCATTTTTAATTTAATTATAATATTTATACTATTTCTTTTTTTAATCCTAAGTATTTAAAAAATGATATAATATGTAAGCAATATTTATATTTATATTAATGGATCATTTAATTGGAACTATAGTAAATGAATATCAATTCATAAAATTAATAGGAACTGGATCTATGGCAGCGTAAAAATCTAAATTAAATTAAAAGTGTCTATCTAATATAGGATATGACTTCATAAATTTATTATGTGGCTAAAGTTTATACTTGTATTGGTAGTGATATTAGATGTCATAATGAAGCTATAATCCTAGAAAAATTGAGTCATCCTAACATTATAATTATAAGAAGAAATCAGCAATAATTAAAAGTGAAGGTTTATTTAGTTTTTTATTTTTAGGGAGATAAAGGATAAATGGATTGTTTAATTTTAGAATATTTGGAAAAAGGCGATTTATTTGAATTTATAGATAAAAGTGGATAATTTGAATAAAATCTTTGTCGTTTTTACTTTAAGTAATTAGTTTAGGTAGTTGATTTTGTACATGGAAAAGGATTAGTTCATAGGAATTTAAAATTAGAATCAGTATTATTAGATAGAAAATTTAATCTAAAATTATGCAATTTCTCTTGTGCGTAATATTCCAATAAATATAAGGATGGTAAATTGAAAACTAAAGTTGGAACTGAGAGTATAATTAATTATTGAATTTGAAGATTATTAAGCACCAGAAGTTTTGTATGGTGCTGTATATAATGGAATAAAAGCAGATGTATTTTCTTTGGGAGTGATATTGTTTATTATGTATAAGGGTTAACCACCATTTATTAAAGCTAATTAATAAGATGCATTATTCAATTTAATTATTTAAGAGAATTATAAATAATTTTGGGAAATTCATTCATAGAAAAATATTGAATTTCCATTTGATTTTAAGTATTTAATAATTTATAAAAAGGGAACTTTTTTTGGGAATGATAAATCCAAATCCAGAGAAGAGATTTAATATGGAAGAAATAAAGAATTCTAAATTTTATGGAGGGGTTACTTTGAATATTTAAGATGTTTATGAAGAGATGTTAAAGAGAGAGAAATTTATACTTAAAGTGTGATTAATTATATATATATATATATAATTTAAATATTAAAATGGGTTGCACTTAGATTACAAATGTGACAATAAAGAATCCAAGAATGAAGAATTTTTTTGATTAATGTCAATATTATGGTTTTAGTAGATCACAAGTAAGAAAATAAAAGAATGTAAGGTGGTGAAAATAACTGAATATGAATTTCAATATTGTAGAGGAAGTAAGAGTTGGCTATCAAATTATTCAAAATCAATTTTCAATGAATAGAATCCAGTATTGTTATCTCCTTGTTTACCTGATAATTTTGATAATTTAATTTCAGGCTTAATGAATTTCAAATAATTATATCCAGAAGAATTTAAAGATTTCCCAAAAAATTTAGGGTATATATAAATGATTAAATAATTTAAGGATGTTATTAAGTTTAGGAAATTAATTCCCAATCTTTAAAGGAGAGAAATTAGGTACTAATCAAATTACAAGTATTTAAATTCAGTAAAATGTTGTAACAATATTTGTATTTTGGAAATTGGAAGAGGAAATTAAGATAGGAAGAATGTCATAAGTCAAAACAAGAAATATAAGTAATCGTTTTAGAGATGATAATGAATCTTAATGTTATTTAGAAACTGCATTTATAAGAGCAAAAAAATCAATTAAGCGTCCACTTAATTTGATTGGGATATGTTTAGATAATTAAGATAGAAAATATTTATATGAATAAGTTATATCATAAGAAGATACTCACATTTGGATAAATGAAAATGATTAATCAGCTTAAGTATTCAAATTTGCAGAGGATCCAAATTATTAAATAAGATAATTGGAATAATCCATATATATTATAAATTCAAAAGGAGTTTTTGTAGGTTGTTTAAAGGAAAACTTTGGAGATCATTCATTTATTCATGAAATAAATGATATAATAGATGGTGAAATAAAATAATAAGATGAAAATTAAATATTGAATATTAAATAGAAAATAAGAAAAGATGATTATTAAAAAGTAAAGAATTTAATAGTGGATGAATTACCAAATAAACATAAATTACCTATTGGTGATACATTTAGTATATCTATAAAAAAACATACATTTTTTAGAGATTATTCTAAAATTGGAGCTACTTATTTCAATCCTATTTTTAAAGCAGCTGGATCTAAAAAATATCAATAAAATTGTGATGATTTAATATAATTTGTTAAAGAATTTACTCCAATTGCTCATATGGAAACAGATTTCAAATAACATCATTCTGTAAATAAAAAATAATTTTTTGAAAAGTTGAGTAGAAAATTAATGTATTACTGATATTTATATAGAAATATAGGATATGATGATATTAGATTCATCTTAGAGAAGAATATTGAAATCTCATATGAAGAGAGTTCAAAACGTTTAGAAATGAAAAGAGAAATTAATTCTATGCATAATGCTCCTTAATCTGTTAGTTGTGTTTATTCAAGAAAAGAAGCATTATAGAAATTGGGTAAATCCATATTTGCTTAATCTGATAATTATACTCATAAGGAATTAGAATTATTAAAAGAATTCTTTGGTAATCCATATTCTTTAAAGTATTAATTTAAATTTTTATTTATTATAGAACTTCTTTCAATATAGGTACTCTCTTTTCACCTATTCCTAATACATATAAAATGTAACATAATGATTTTTCTGGAAGCAGTTAAATCATGTAATCAATTATTCGAACTACAAATAAAGGAATATTTGATAGTAAATTAGTATAATCTATGAATCAATCAATTGATGATTAGAATTAACATTTTGGAATTACAGAATAAATAAAAAGCAATTAAAGTCATATTGAATTAAGTGAAGGTTGGGATGGTGATAATAAAGTGGATTTAAATTATGATTAAATGCATTCAATTCATTAAATTAATAATGAAGTTCTTGTCATATTTTTGATTGATTATACACTAGATAAACATATTGAACTTTTACATTAATTATTGGAATTTATAAAGAGTAGATAATGGAATAGCTCAAATATTAGAGTAATAGGATTAGAAAAAAAGAGATCTGAAGAATAATTTTAAAAATAAATGAATAGATTAGAATAAGAAATGAAAAGAGGTATTTTTGAAGCATGGTTTCCACTTGAACAATAGTTTCTAGGAATTAATTTTTATAAAATATTATCTGATCTATATGGATTAGATTCTATCTCTCCTATTTTAGTTATTGATCATCTAGGAAGATTACTTTATTAGGGTTAACCTGATTAAAAATTTGCTCCATTGTTGACTAAGATCATTAATTAAGAATCTTTGAAAACTAGTAAAAATATCAATCATTTTATAATAGTTCATCCAGTAGACAGACCATTAAAACATAGAATTGATTTAGCCTAATTTGGTAGAGAATGGAGAATAATTAAATAATATGGAAATGAAAGTGTTTATTTTAGTCCAACTGTACAATAAACTTTAAAATATTTGGAGAAAATGCCTTTAAGGAAAACTGAATCATGGAAACTTACAATTACATAATTTTAATTATGGAATGAAAATGGAGAATTTGTTAGGAAATGTTATGAAAAACCTAAAATTTTATATAAATTTGAAAGACCTGAATTAGCAGTCAAATTTTATAATATTATTGAAGAAATATAAAGATTAGTGGGTAAGGAAAGAATTGAAGTGATTGATTTGAATGCTGAAATACTTAAAGAAAGAAATAATTTATAAGGAGAATAATTAATTAAGTGAATTATCAATAAATATATATATACATTTTATAATTAAGTGAATTATTAATATAAATATATATTGAATATCAATTAATATATATATATATACAATTATAACCATTTTACTTTTTTTATTAATTATATTTACATACATATGTTTTTTCCTGAATAGGAATATAAAACTAGTACTAAAGTATATATTATACATATATCTTAGAGTGATGATGAATTGAAGAAATTAACTTTAGAAGAAGATTTAAGTGAATGTTAGAGATCCATTTATATTTTAACTAAAGGATAATAATTATAAAAGAAAGCTGTATATTATTTGTGAATTATATCTAGATTTATTCTAATTTACATAAGATTTTAAAGGAACCTAATGCTTTTGAATTTTTATTTTAAGTTATAATGTAATTATATTAATACTACAATTACAAGTGAAGAAATTCAATAACAAGAAGAAGATAATTAAATTATTGCAGCTAAATCACTTTAGAAATTAATTAAAGAAAATTCCCTTACTATTTAAGAATTATTACAAATCTATGATTTGACATCTCAAATATTAAAAATATGGTCACTTCCTGTATTAAATGAATGGGTACAAACTATGGATCTTCTATTAAGAACAATATGTCTTACCAATATTCTTATTCCAATCCAATAATTGATACTACTATTAACTGATAGTTCATAACCAACAATATCAAGATAAAGTGCTGTCAAATTAATTGGTACTTTAGCATAAGTAATGTTCTCTTTACTATATAAGCTTCTTGGTAATTAAATCAAAGGTCCTATTCTTGATAGAACAAGAAATTTATGTTCAGATCATGATAAAGAAACTCGATTGATTATGGCTGATAATGTATTGATTAAAGTTTGTTAATCAATTTCCAGTGATTTAATAGAATGTTATTTAATTGAAAAAATAATGGAACTATATTATGATACAGATCTAATAGTAAGAAGTTCAGGTATGAAGTTATTTTTTACAATTGCAAATAATTTATCAGTAGATGAAATTAAAAATAGATGTACTAAATAATTTATTGATACAATATAAAGTTAAAATGAAGAGAATAAATTAGTTATGTCTAAAATTTGTGGGAGAGTATTTAATCTTGTAATTAAATATCTTTATTTATAATTAGATAAAAGATTATTTAAATTAAAATTAAATTACACTTTTTATAAATATATACATTTCTTATGTAAAAAGTAAGAATGTAGATATAAGAGTCAATTTTGTTAGTAATTTCCCTGCTATTTTATCTTTGGCATCAAAGAAATTTGAATACTTTTAGGAATCTTATTTATAATGTTGTAATGATAATAATGAAATTGTTATAAGAGCCATTATTAATTGTTTCCATGAAGTTGTACTACTTTCTGATAATACTGAAATATTATTTTAGATTTTCATCAACTTTATGAAATCAAAAAGTGTAACAATATTGGAAATTCTGATATTCAGATTTGCTTCAATTATTAATTCTTTTTAAAAATAAGTATTATGTTCATAATATATTTAGTCAGTAACAACCACAATTTGGTCAACCAGTCCTTGAATTATTGAATAGTCTAATAACAAAGAATTTATGGGATTTTTAAATTGAATTACTTGATCAATTCTAAAAATGTTAATAGATATTTAATGATGTAAATATTTTTATGAATGCAATGATTAATACAATATCTAAAGGTATTCCAAGAACTAAATAATTATGTTGTGATAATATAGCTTAATACTTAAGTCAATATGGAGATTTAAGAAAGAGAAAAGATTGGATAATTTAATTATATGATCTTTATTTCAAATCTGATATCTACTATAATAGAATCACTTTTATAAATATTGTGCAATCATTTTCTGAATTTATATCTAAGAAATTATTCAAACAATATGAATTCTTTGATATTTTAATATTTTCAAAAGATCCTATTATGAATGTTAGAATGAGATTAATAAAGGTATCCAATTTATATTATTATAGATTTTACCATTATTATATAAAAAAATAGATAGTGATGATTTAATTATCTTAAATATGTTTAATGAAGCAGTATAAGATTGTATTTAAAATGGATCTCGTTCTTTTTAATTTATGATTCAGTAAACAAAAGAGGAATTATTGAAGCCAAATGATGAAAATATATTGAATAAGAAAGATTAAGAAATGATGGAAAAAGAAGAAATAATATTTAAATAGGATTAAAAATAAAGATAATTATTATTGGATTAAGAGAGAGATGATTTGGAAATTAATAAAATAGATTTAAATGATTACTTGAATAAATACAAAAAAAAATATCCATTAAGTAAAATTAAGAGTACCAATTAAAGTTAAACTAATTTATTCAAAAAATAATAAATTTAAAATGGAGTTTCTACCTTAATAATTAAGAAATCAGTTGATCTTGATACCAGTAAGAGTCCATTAATAGAAAGTTCTTAAATTATTAAAAAACCTGTTTTGAAATCTAAAACTCCTACTGCAAAGAGTATTTGTGATATTAAAAAGTAATTTAAGCTTCCAAGTATCAAAAAATGAAATATATATATATATTTAAAATATATGAAATTACAAACAAGTAGTAGTTAAGAATATTTAAGTTCTAGACCATATGAAACAAAATAATCAAAGAATATATTCACTATTAATGATTCTAGATATAAACATATTAAAAACTTAGAAAAAAAGAACAAATAGTTAACAAATAAATTAGTTGATCTATAAACTGATTTAGAATAAATAGATGAATTCAAAATAGCTATATCATTAGATAGACCTCCTATGAAAAGTGCAAGAGCTTTATTTTTTAGCACAAATGATGTAAAGAAGGGGAAGTTACAATTAGAACCTTAAGAACTTAATGATGATTTTCATCAAAGAAGAATTGAGATTATGAAGGCACAATTATTAAAATAATAAAGGTATATTAAACGACTTACTACTATTTTACAAACTACCAGAAAATTCTATGAAGATCTTAGAGAATATATGGTATATAATCAAGAATCATATATTATAGTAATATTTTTCTTCAGTTTTGAGGTAATCTGCATAAGGAAATGATTACTATATAGTTGACCAAAAGGAGACTATAGTATCTTAATAAATGATATAGTCTCCAACTAATAAGGAAGTAATAAATTAAAATGAAGAATTAAAACAATAAAAAAATTAGATTTAAAAAAAGGTTTAATTTACTCTTGATGATTCTTTTGATAAGTAATAAGCTTAAAGTAAGATACAGAGAATCACAAAAGATAAAGAATTTATGGAAGTGGCAGAAAAATAACAATAATATATTTCATTAAAAAATTTGTTATAATAATTCAAAAGTAATGAAGATAGAGAAAATTTTATATCAACATTCACATTAGCATATTAAAAGATTATTGATTTTGAGAGAGGCAATCAAGATTATAGAAATCTATTAGAAGTATAATAATAAGGAAAGAATCGAAAAGTATTTTATAAACATCCAATGAGATCTTTAATTTAAAGATATGGTCATTTCTTTCCTGTAAAGAGTATTTATACAGCATTTCCTATGAAAGATAGAGAAAGATTAGATCATTTTTTAATATCATTAGAAGGGATGAGTTCACAAATATAAAGAGATTTATAAAAAGTAGATGCATTTTGGTTATTTAAATCAAATCCATTCTTTTTTAAATCAAATGATTATCGATAATCTATAGAATTACCTGTTTAAATATTAGAAGAACCATAATTATTTGATGAATTTTTAGCAGAACCTGAAAAACATCGTGTTATAAATTTAGATTAGATGATGTTATCAAATTTAGAAAAAGATCTTTTATAATTAATGGATAATTTGATGGAGATATAAAAGAAATTTTAGAATGAATGTAATTAATTATCATTTCTATAAAAACCTTAAATATCTAAGATTTCTGATTAATTAAGAAAATCATTAGAAAGTTTAGTTTGTTTATCAAGTATGATTGGAAATAACAATTTATAAACAATAAATAAAATGTATGTGATTGGTTAAAAGGATGCTTATTTATATTCTCATTAAATTTTTAGTTAGAATGATTTTGATTCTAAATATTAAATGTTAGAATTATTATTAAGTGATCTTTGTTCATTAGTATAAGTAAATGAAATGATAATTGTAAAGAAAGCATTAATGATGTTAAAAAGTATAAAAAATATATATGAAATATAAAAAATGATCACAACTATTCGTGAATCTGAAATAGTTCTATTAAAATAGAAACTTGATTTATTATTATAAGACTATTCAGGTGTAAATTCATTTATAATAAATGCAGAATAGTAAGTAAAAGGATTTTTCAATTAAATAGGTAATAAATTTACTTAAGTGAATAATGTTTGTAATGTATTTTTGGAAAGTGAAAAGATTATGGATTAATAAAGTAGAAAGTAATTTGGATAAAATTTAAAGAAATAACTTAAGGATATAACTGATTATATTGCAGGTCTTACTTAAATAGAAAGGAATGATAATTCTATAAATATAAAATAATTATAATAGGAATTTGATAAGAAAGTAAGTACATTTTATGTAAGAAGTGAATAATTACAAAGAATGAATGAATAGATATCTAAGCGTTTACAATGAAAATGATAATTTTAATTTAATTTCTACATTTAATTAATATAATTATAATATATATATATTAATAAAAATTAATTATGTAATTTTTTACACCTAAATTCTCTTTTGTGGTTCACAAAACCTTCAAATAAAAGTTATTGGCTAGAAAAGAAAAGAGACGTTTTAGGGGATTAAATGTTTATGTACCTGAGTTTACAGGAGAAGGCTCTATTCATCCTTGGTTAGATGCAAAGAGAATCAAATTATTGACCAAATTTTATGAAGATCATCGTAATAAACATCGTTTTACATTCAAATTATCTTCAGATGATAAAAAGAAATTGAATGAAGTTATGTAAAACTATGCAGAAATACATGTAAAAGATGAGATTATTCATTAAAGTATTTGAGAATGCTCTAAGAAAAATATTGGCTAGATAAACATACAGAAGTTATTATGAATGTGTAAAAGGAAGTTAACAGTTTACCATATGTCTTGAAAAGTGAATTGGATAGAAAATTAAGTGAAAAAGAAATGGAATATTATGATCGTCCATAACTAGAACCTGATTCTGTTTATTTTGAATAACGTTTACGTAGCTTACCAGAAGAAGAAGCATTAAACTTTGAATTTGCTTAAAGATTGTTCAGAATAGCATAAGATAAACTTGCTTAGAATGAGTGATTAATATATATAGACAGTTAATTATATTTTGAAAATCAAATGGGAGCCAATGATTCAAAACCAATTTACAAACTCTATGAGCATTTTAAATAGATCAATATACACAATAATGGTAAGTTCCATTATATCATATTCAGACTTTCCTGATTGCCAGATCTTATAACACAAACGTGATCCTAATTAATAATTAATTTTACGTACAATCAGTATGACAGATGAAGCATATTTTAAAAAGACTGTTAATCAATATTAAATTAGATAAAAGATAAACCATCCTAATATTCTAAATCTAAGCAATTACTTTTATGAATTTGAACAATAACTATGTGGATAATTTTACAAAGTGAATTTATTATTTGAATATCCATAAAGTAATTTAGAAAGAGTACAAATTATGAATGAAAATCAATTAATTGAATATCTCAAATAAGCAATTTCTGGATTAGCATGTATGTAAAAAAATGAAATTCCACATAATACATTATAACTTAAATATTTATATTTAATGGATGGAATTGTTAAAGTAAGTGATCCTCAGTATTTTTAATAAAATACAAATTATGTTCAAATATTATAAAATCCTAATTGTATGGAATCAATTTATTTATCTCCTAATTTGGTTAATACAATTAGAAAAAATAATTGGTAACCTAAACACAATCAATATAAAAGTGATGTATTTACTTTAGGAATGCTTTTTTTACATTTAGGATTGAATTAAGTTAATAATGATTGTTATAATTACATATAAGGTAAATTTTTGGAAGAATAATTGAATATTAAACTCTAAAAATTAAGAATTCAACATAGTTAAGTATTTTGTGATTTAATTTAAATGATGCTTATTACTTAAGAAGATTATAGACCTGATATAATTTAAATGGAATAAATAATTAATTCAAATTAAATCACAGGAAAAATCTATTAACAACAACCAAATGTAATACCTAAATAGATTATACCAAACTAACCTATAGGATTAATAGATACAATCCATTAACCAAGTACTAACTCATTATAATTGGAATAATTTCCATATAATGTGTAAATTAATTAATCAAAGAGAATTAATCAAGTTCAAAATATATCACCTATAAAATACACTCATCAATATACTATTAAAACAACTTAATCATAACGAAGTTCTACACCAATTAGTAAGGTTATGATTCCAACTTAATAAGTCTAATAATAAATTAGAGATAGTTCAGTACCTAAATAATAAACTCAAATTTAGAATATTAGTTAAAGATAAATAAATCATGAATATTTAAATAACTATTCAAAAATATCTATTTAAAATAATATAACAATAACACCAACTACAGATTAATCTATTTTAAGCAATAAGAGTTTACTTCAATAAATTAATCTTCCTCCTAAAATGCCAATTAATTAAATAAATTAAACTAATTCGAAATTCCAATAGATAAATTAATCATCTGAATCTAAAATACTTCCTATATAAGTATTTTCAATACAATTAGATTAATGTGATTCTTTGTCAAAGTTTTATCCATCAGAATTGTGTAGTAAACATTCTTAGTTTGATGAGAACTTAGATTCTTAAGGAAATGATGAAAATGACACTTAAAGATAAGGAAATAATGAATATTCATAGATTTTATGTGATACTACTAATCTCCCATAATAATTTAAAAATACTTTAACTAAAGAATTTAGTTTGCCATATGAGATTTCAAAAAACAAAGATTAAAAGGTTAATGAATCAGAATTTGTTGTTGAACATTATGGAAATGGTTCTCGTTATGAAGGAATGAAAAAGAATGGAATGAGACATGGATAGGGAAGATTTTATTATTAGGATGGTGGTTTGTATGATGGAGAATGGAAAGAGAATAAAATGCATGGAGATGGTAATTGTTTAATCTTATTTTTAGGAACATTATATTATGGAACAGGATAGCCAGCATATGAGGGATAGTGGAGTGAGGATCAATTTCATGGTTTTGGAACTTTGTATAATGAACATCCTTAGTATTCAGAGGAATGCTTTGATTATAGGGATTTTGATAATGTTGAAGAGTAACAATTATTGAGATTATTATTATAGTTATTGGACTAAATATAGTGGTAGTTTTAAGATGGATAATAAGGAGGGATAGGGAAGCTTGCATTTGACAAATGGGGAGAGATTTGTAGGGTGTTTTGAGAGGGATTTAATAAATGGTAAGGGAGTATTTTATAGAATGGATGGAAAGATGATGGAGGGGAGATGGGTGGATAATAAATTAGTTTATTGAATTATAATTGATAATCTCATTAATTATAAATATATTTTAAATATTTGTTTGTTTAAATATTTAATTATTTTTAAATCATTTTAATTATGCCTAAGGGTCATAAGTAGTAGAGAAATAAGGCATTTAAAGGAGAATCGAAGCGTAGAGCAAAATAGAAGAATGAGGGCAAATTGAAGAAGAAAATAAAGAAATAAGAGATCAAATAAACGAAAATTAAGGATGGTTAATAGGAAATACAGATTGAGAAAAAAGTGAAGGATTAAGAATAGAAAGAGAAATTAGTTAAAACAGTAAACACAAAAATCATAGCCATGTTTCCAATGAATTAATAATCCAACATAGCTGCATTAAAGTATAAGATGTGAATATCATTAGATTTCGATTAATGTAGCATCTCAATATATAATAAGTTGGAATAAGTTCCTATTGCACTTAAGATTGTTTTTTGAATGTGGAAGCAAATGGGAAATTAATAAAATAACCATTAAGATTTATATTCTTGGATAGAAATGCTGAATAAATACTAGATGCATGTAAAGTGGCAGACATAATATGTCCAGTATTGTCTTGTAGAGATTGTAATACAAATACAATAAGTTTGGATCCTCATAGTAATGCAAATGCATTTGATGAATAGGGTTATAAATTACTTAGTAATTTGAGAGCTTAAGGAATGGTTTAATAGGTATGTTATATATAAGATTTGGATGAAATAAGTTAGAGCAAAAAGAATGTAGTTAAGAAATTGTTTACAAGATACTTTGAAAGTGAATTTCCTGGATCTCATATAGTTGATGATTGTTCAACTTTGATGAGAAGTGTTGTTGTGTTACATGAATAAGCAGTAGAATGGAGAGATACACATGGATACATGTTACCTGATGATTTAGCTTATGTGAATGGAGAGTTGAGTATTACAGGTACATGGAGAGGATAGAATGGATTAAATGCTGATTAATTAGTACATATAACAGGAGTTGATGATTTCTAAATTGCACGCATTGAATTATTAGGAATGATTGAGTAAGTATACGAATCAAACTAACCAGAATCTTTGGATCCAATATGTAGAGACAAATAACATGATATTGGAGATTGTGATGATCTCTTGAAAGATATAGCAGGAATGCAATTATAAGAAGAAGAAGAACAAATGATTGAATAAGAAAGTGATGTTAGTTATGAAGATCTTGATAAAGAATTTGAAGATGAAGCTTAAAAGAAAAGAGAATAATTTGAAATTTTACATAGAGATCCTGAAGATTTAGATTATGAAGATGAAGTTGAATATGGAGTTGAAGTTAAATTGAGAGAACGATACGAAAAATATCAAGGATTGAAGAATATTAGAACTAGTGAATTTGATCCTCTTACATTTTTACCAGATGAGGCTGAAAAAATCTATAATTTCAGATTTTTGAAAAAGATTAAGTAGGATGTTTTGGAAGAAATGAAACAAAAGGAATAAATAAAACCTGGATAAAGAATAAAAATTACATTAAGAAATGTACCTGAATTGATTGTGTAAAGACTTACTTAACCTAATAAGATATATGTTATTTCTGGATTATTAAAATATGAAAGGAAGATGACATAAATGCATGTGAGATTTCATAGACATTAGATGCATAATTGTGTTCTTAAATCCAAACATTAAGTATTTGCATAAATTGGATTTAGAAGAGCTCATATCAATCCAATATATTCTCGTATTCTTAATGTAATTATATATATATAATATTTAGAATTGTAGTAAAACAAAATATGTTAAAGAAATAAAGGATGATGCATTTTATTTAGCTTCTTTCTATTTTTATAATTCATTTCCATAATAACCTGTTATCTTTTGGTAAAATGATTTTGATTTCAGAAACAATGAAATAATGGGAGTTGGAGATATATAAAGATGTGATACTTTCCAAGTAATCCTAAAGAGAATTGTTCTTACTGGATATCCTGTAAAAATAAATAAGAGGAAAGCAGTAATTAGAATGATGTTCTTCAATCCACTTGATATTAAATTCTTTAAACCTATAGAACTCTCTACGAAATTGGGATTGAGAGTATTATATTTATTTATTTTTTAGGGAAATATTCTAGAACCCTTAGGTACACATGGTTTAATGAAATGTATGTTCAATAACTTTGTCAAACCTAATGATGTTATCAGTCTCTAATTGTATAAGAGAGTTCATCCTAAATTTGTGAATATTTAAATATGAAATATTTATTATGTGTGAAGAATTTCTTTATGATCGTACCATTCATTTTGATATTGCTGTCTCTAAGTTGAATATGTAGAAAGGTGAAAAAACTTTATACATGTGGTAAGATGTGGAAGACATAAAAGGAAACCCAGATCAATTTGGTCGATTAATAATAACAAACACAAGAATTTTATGGTGGAGTGAACGTAATAATAGTGTGAATCTCAGTATTGGTTTGGGGACAATATTTCATATTGAACAGAAAGTCACTAATAATAATCGTACATTTGGAACTCTTTTTAGAACAAAACTAAACTATGGAAAAACTGCTGGATAAAAATATGAATTCCATTTTACTAGTCCAGATAAAAAACTTTATGAATCATTAGTAAATATCTAAAGATTATATACTTAAACTTTATTGCATCGTGAAATAAAAGTATAATTTGCTATGATTTCCCAAAAGAAACTCAATCTATCAGAAAGAGAATAAATAATTAATCAATATTTGAATACAATTAGTGTTGCTAATGATTAATAAGATGTAAGTGGTACTCTTATATTTACAAATGTTCGATTTGTTTGGTATTCTGCTACAAATGATCTATTTAATATTAGTATACCATGGATAGCAGTAAAAAAAATAAGCAAGAAAACTACAAAAGGTTTATATACTATGATAATTGAAACATATTCAGAATTTGGAGGATATTTTGTAGGTTACAGAAATATTGAAATAGATAATATGATAAAAGAATGTAATAAATTACATACATTTTATATTGAAAATCCTATATATGGAATTGAAGTTTAAGAGAAATAATAACCTGCTGTTTAGAAATTTGATGAAAGAGTATAAGTAGTTTAGAGTGTATATAATTAAGCAGCTAGATATCAAGCAAATGAAAATAATGATACTCAAAATGATATAGTATATTGTTAAGAATTAGGATTAGCTATTTAGAAATTACCTGGAGATGTTAAATTAAGTGATTTATGGAATATTATTAAATATTGATTTATTTATATAGATATAATAATATTTTAAATCACATCATCTAACTAAGATATTTGTATACTCTATAATAATATTAATATAATATTACTTTGTTGATAAGGATGGTACAAATGTAATTATAACAAAAATCATAATTCTCATTTGTTTTTTGAAATTGGCATCAAATATACCAATAAATTTATCATGACATTTCTTTACATCTCTTTCTACATTACTTTATATCTTTTCTAAACAACTTTTCATTTCTGCTACTTTCTCTCTCATTATTACCATTTCTTCAGTTTCTATTATATCTACTTTATTTTTAACATTCCTTTATATTGGCATTTACATTCTTTTTCTTTAATATGTGTATATCAATTCAATCACTTGTCTATATATTCTATTCTCTACTATATCTTTATTCTTAAAATAATAATCAAATAATGTGTATAAATCTTCATATATTGCAGTAAGTTTATGAATATTCTAATGTAATTATCATTGTTTACTGCATCTATTTCATTAAAAGTCTAATTGAAATTAGAACCTTGGTAGATTCTACCCATACATATTACAAAAGATAATACTATATCTGCATGAATGTTATATAATAGAACATCATCATCACAATAATTTATAGCTCTCATAAATGGTAATTCAAAATTGCACAATGTAAATCCACCAAAACACATTGCTCCATAAAGAGCAAGAAAACCATAAACATAATTATATTCAATTTTCTTTTTCTTTTCAATATAAATTACAACTGTTCTCATAAGATTCCAACTCTAAAGACTAAGTGAACATGTAATATCAATTAATTCATGTAAAGCATTTTCTTAATCCATATCTATAGTAATAATTTTATTTAAAGCTTATAAAATATAATTTCTAGTTTTTAGATCATCATTTAATACTAATTAGAATATAACTGATAAAAAATGCATATAAAATCCCATAAAAATAACTGAATAAATGAGAGTGTAAGGATGAATAGGCCAAAATAAAAAGAATATTGGTATTAATACTTTTAGAGTGATTAAAGTTATCACTACTAAGATTTATAAATTTCTATCAGGAATTAAATATTTTCTAGTATAAATATAATGTGGTAATAGAAAATGTTAGAATACACTTCTATTACCATTAAATCCTAAATCTTATAGATAATCCAAAACAGACTTTGCCTTCTCTACTTCTTTAATTAATTTTGATTTCCTTTTTTTAGCCATAGGTGATGCCTATATTTCACTATTTATAAAATCTGAACACATGCTAAAATAAATCATAGTAGGATCTAAATTCTCTTTATCAATTATGTGATCAACTTATTTAGAGAATTATTGAATAGTGTTGAGATTATCTTTGTCTTAAGAATCTTAGGCTCTAATGAAATCCATATGTGATCTACCTAAACCAATATTATAAAAATTTTGTTGGCTGAATAAGAAAGAAAAGTTAAAGGAAAACACATATCTTTATTCTTTGTCTTTTTGAGTTCTAATTTATTGCTAAACCATAATATTAAATTTTTTACAGCTTTTTCTATTTCCACTTCTTCTATTTTAACTAACTCTTTTTGAGTAATGAATATTGCATATAACATAATGAATAAGACACAATTAACTGCCCAATGAAAATATTCTCTATTCACCTCTGACAATTCTTTAATGTTTAGTATTTGAAGTTACCTGAATGATTAAACAGACCATACAAAAAGATTGTATAAATACAGGCTATGCAAATACAGAGCATATAATCATAGACATATTACCTTAATTACAATATAGATTAAAATGAATTACTTCATATATTATTATCGAAATGTCTTGTCTGTATCAACTTTGCGTAGTAATTTAAAAATATAGAGACTCACAATCATGTAACTAAAATAAACAGGACCAGAATTATAGAGCATAAGAACAATTCTTCTTAACAGACATTTTAATTGATATTTTCTTTTATTAGTCCAAAACTTATGTTCAGATTCATCATCTACTAAAATATCAAAGGTATTATGATGTTGATTCTAGATCAATTATTATTTATTACAATAATAGCCAATGAAGTGTTTAGAATAGAGTCTTAATGACCATGATGTATATTCATTTTATATATTTTATATTTTTCAAATATTGATAATTATTCAGAGAGTAAAACTGTATGTAATTTTAATCTAATGAAAAATTGTTCTCAGTCTTTTTTATTTACTACAAAGTTATCATAAATCATTCGAAACGGATGTACTGTTACATTAACGGTTTATCATAACAGACTATTATTAAGTGGACTCAGAAAAACAAGTAGAAGTGAAAAAATTGATAAAGAAATCAATTTTTAAACTACACATTATGTTCTAAATTGGGAATACTCTCAGTAAAATTAAACAATATACTTTATAGTCATTCTAAAGATATTGAAGGTTTCACTCTATATAAATAAAATACTAAAAGGTATACCTTTGGTGGTAGCAATGACCAGCTCAGCTAGTTAAAAAATATTTTGAGTGGTTTAATTGGTTTTACAAACTGGGAATAAGATTATAAATTTGTTAAACATGTCAGAAATAGCTAGAAATGTTAAGTATCATTATATACTAAGTATTTTTAGATAATGCTTGTCAAACAAGAAAATCAGTTTTAAGTTATCAAACTCATTGATTATCAAGAAGTAAATAACCAATAAAAAACAATTTAGACTCCAGAAGAATTAATGGCACTGAAACTAATTTAAAAGAATCCTCATCCGAATGTACTTGGCTTTAATTCATATTATATTGATAATATACATTGCTACCTTGTTATGGATTATCTATCTCAAGGAACACTCTATGATCTTTAGAAAATGTACAATTTTAATATACCAATACATATCATCTAAGAAGTGATGTAACAGATTCTAGAAGGTATTTTTATATCTATTTAAAATAGGTTTAAATCATTTGCATTAATTAAAAATCATACATCGAGATATTAAATATGATAATATCATGATTGCTTCTTTTAACCCTCTATAAATCAAAATTATTGATCTAGGACTCTGTCTACTCAATAATCCTTCCAATTCTAGAGCTGGAACTGGAGGATATATTGCTCCTGAAGTATTCTCATCTTCGAAAATCACTGAAAAAATTGATATTTTTAGTGCAGGAGCTGTATTTCACAAATTACTTATTGGTAAACCTATATATGAAGATCTTGATCAAAATCAAACAGGTAATATTCGAATCAGTTCTCATATTAAAAATAAAAATGCTCTTGATTTATTGCATCAAATGCTAAACTTTGACCCTAAATTAAGATATAATGCTTATGACTGTATTGCTCATCCTTTCTTTACTGATGAATATGATTAATTGTCTTCGAAGTATTTGAATTATTTAAAATAAGAACTTAATTGTACTAGTATTTATCCCCAAAATAAGCTAAATTATAAGTCCACACTCCAGCAACAGATTTCATTTCAAATTAAAATGTGTGCCCATTTAAGCTTAATTGATTTTATTGAGGATAATTTTATATATTTTTATGACCTGTAATAAATTGATTATAGACACAATTAAATTATTTAATATTAATTACTAAGCAAGAATTAAAAATAAAAATTTTCATTATTATTTTAGAATTAAATTATAATGAAATTAATTGTGATTAAAATAATTTTTAAAACATAAATTTGTTTATAAAATACGGTTCTTCTTAGATAAAACATGATTTTTTCATTTTGATTCAATTAATCAATGTAAGTTAATAATTTTAAAACAAATATAAGATTATTATATTAAATTCTATAATTTTATTTTATTTTTCATTTTGAATATAGTTTATAACATTTATAAATTTAAAGTTATCACATAAAAGGAAATTCATAGATAACATTAACTTTAAGGTATTATCTATAAATGAAAGTAATTCTAATTTATAGTAAAATTCTAACATTTTATCAACAATTAAATCTTCCATCATCAAATATATAAAACCTTTATTTTTGATATATTTTTAATGTCTTCTTTAAAATATTAAAATTTATAATTATAATGATTATCATAATAATAAAACTTAAATATTTAAGAAACCTAAAATTGGTATTGACCTATAATTACATTTTATGGAATTATGTTGAAAAATCTAAACTACTGATTATTCTTAACATAGATGTGATTTTATAATTTAAATAATTGATTTAAAGATGAAAAAATAGATATTTAAATAAGTGGATATGATAAATGAAACATTTTTATGTCTTAAATTATGAATACAGAAAATGAATTATAAAGAAATTTTTAAATCAAATTAAAAGTAGAAGTATTCTTAATTAATACTCCAGTAATTATTACAAATTTAAATTATCTCTTTTTAAAAATATTTTAATTAACATCTATGTTCTCTATATTTACTTTATATTTAATAAAACAATAGGATATTGAGAAATGATTTAATTTCCATTAGTGACTATTTTCAATTTAAATATTGGACACTTTTTAATATAATAAAGAGCATATTTTCATTAGCTTAGATAGTTTAATCAAATTTATATATTAATAATATTCAAATTTTCTTGTTTAGTATTGAATTAATAATTTAATTATTGAATCAATATTGATAATTCAACTTGAACAATTTTATTATGAGAGTATAGATATAAATTGAGTTGAACTTTACATGTAGTCATATATATAGAAAAAGTTCAGAAAAATATAAAAATATTATTGAATATTCTCTATGTAATTTAATAGGGATAATATGATTATGAACATATTCTTGACATTAAAAATAGATGATTAAGTATGTCTATAAATTTTAGGATAAATATAATTTATTATTAATATGAGTAATGTAACCTCATCTTCTAGATGTCCTTTCAAGTATCCAACTGAGCATCTTAAAAATGATAATAAAAGCATGACTTTTAGAGATTTCATGCAATAGCAATAAATAAAAGAAGATTAAAAATTCTAAAGCACAGGATAATTGTCTACTCTTTAAACTTCTCCAATAATGTCAAAGAAATAAAGATGGGAAAAATAGTTAAGTTCTCTATTACGTTAAGAACCTTAGAATCAGTTCATAATTAAACATGGCTCATAAAGTCAAGTGACAATTAATGAGTTTGGAAATAAAGTTAAGAGTTTTAGAAGTCAAGAATAATCACCTACCAAAACATTATATCAATTACCTATGATTAGTGATTCTTAGATTTGTGATATTGTTCTACCTAATACTCCAGTTCATTTCAAATTTACTCCTTTTTAACATAAAATTAGGAATCCACATAGCAATAGTTTAAGAAATGTTCATGAATAATTAGAGTAACTTAGAAGACCAAAAGTATAATAATAACATCGTGAATTAAAACAACTTCCAAAAACATAAACAGAAATCATAAGCAAATTTTTTGAGACTAAATTCTAAAAGATAATAAAGACTTAAATCAAATAATATGGTAGTAATGAATTACTTGATTAACATTCTGAATCACTTTATCATAGAGTAATTTAAGATCGTTAACTAAAAAATAAATATTTTGGAAAACACCTTAAGTACTTGAAGGATATTTATAAAAGTATTTTAGGAATTGGATATACATAAGAAATATTACTTGATCCATTTAGAATGAGAAGTATTCATGCTCCACTCTTCATAAAGAAAGAATAATTCATTAGATTTAAATATCTATTTATTAATTAATATATGGAAATGGAAACTCCTGTAGAATTACTTTTTAAAGGTTGTTATAAATTAGAAAATTTTAAACCTTTAATTCTAAATTAAAGAAGTGATTTTGAAATATTTGGAGGAGAATCTGGAATTAATGAAGTAGCTAAGAATATGTATGAAAAGATATTCAAAGATTACACATTAAGTCCATATTTTAAAGCAATTGAATTAGAAGAATAAGCTATTAAATTTGCTAAATTATTTGCTTAATTAATTGATCATACTGAATCTCCTAATTATACTCTTGAAGTACTTAGAGAAAGACATGTCAAATATAAATTAACACATGTTTAATTGGCTAATTTCAAATTTTATTTATCTACTGCTTTATAAAAATTAGGAATTGGATATAAACATTTAAGAATATTATTAAGAAAAATGGATACTTATAAATTTGCTATTTTGAATAAACCTTCACTCTAAGAATGTATAAATAATGCTCCAGGAGGATATAGAGAATTTATTGAAAACTTTGTACGTCTTTGTTCTAGTGAACCTATACTATATGATTTAGTTTAAAAGAGAGGTAAATAAAGATTTACTGCTCATTGTGAAAATGTCTTTCATTATTTCTTCAGAGATAATGTAAAATCAATCACAGATGATGATATAGAATCTATTCATAAAAATAAAACAATCATTTCTGAAAAAGTATATAGGAAATTTAAAGAAAAAGCTATGCAAGCTGTAGGCAAAGTAACAAATGATCCAATTTTATTAAGTGATTTCGAAGAAGATTGGGAAGAAATTACACCTATTCTTATGAATAAACCTAAAAAGACTACTATTAAATTACTTGGAGGTTAAGCAGTTATTAATCGTATTGCATCTAAATTAGAAAATGAAATTATGTAACGACCATTACTTTATAAAGTATTTGAAGTAATATCTATATTATTATATTAAAGGATAATGAATCTTAAGTTGGTCCTAATTTAAAATGCAAATTAAATTTAATTCTTTATGGATTACATTTCTACAAACGTACAGATATTGAAGTTCTTCACAAGAGATTACGTATTCGTGAATAAGCATATTTTGAATTTTAATAAGTTAAAATTACATATTAATTTTAGGCCATGAAGGTTGTAATGTAGGATGAACCATCTAAATTATAATGGGTTATTGATGTTATTGATGATTACAAGAAACATATAGTTTTTGATTGATTTAAATTTTTTATTTTTTTTTTAATGATATAAGACACTTAGTAATCATTTAAGGATTTTTTGGAAACATATGCAATTAGAAAAAAGTAGCCTGAAAAAAGAAGACAACCAAAATTGAATCCAATGTTTCTATTAACTAAATATCAACCTCAAAGAAATTCTATCTAAATTGAATAAAATTTTAGTTATGCAATTACTAATTCTAAGAGTACACATATAGATCCTCCATTAAGTTTACGATTTAAAACATTAGAGAGTGAAAAAAGCAATATGTCAGGTCTATCTTAATTTCGTAAGAATGAATGGAAATAAAAGGATAAAAATTATTGTTTAATTAGAAATTCTGAATTACTTAATGATGTTATTCAAAAATCATCTAGATATCATAGTTAATAATAATTGGTACCAATTAAATCATAAGATTAAATAATAAAGGGATACTTAATGGAATTATCTCGAAAACGAAAAGTAGCACCTAAACCTTAAGGGACAGATGAATTATTGAATTTTGAAGTTGATTAAATATATTTAGATATAACAAGAAGAGATAATATATTATGTGTTAAGTTTCCTAATAAAAATTAACCTGGAGTAAAATAAGTATTTAGAAATCTTTTAGCTACTGCATATGATCAATAAATGTTTTTAGATTTACCACGTTTAAGAATAATACATTTAGGTATGTAATTAACACATGCTCATTTTTTTAAGTTTAAATATCATTTTCTTAATAAATACATGCAATTAAACATTTCAACAGAAAAGATGTTTAATTGTTGTGAAAGGATTGAAAATGTTCGTCCTTATATACTTAATGAAATATTAGAATTTGAAATTTATGGAGGTGAAGAAGGTATTAAAGCTATCACAAAATTAATGTATAAAAAGATTCTATCAGATGTCACATTATCACCTTATTTTGAAAAGATTGATGTTGCTACTTAAGAAATGAAATTTGCTAGACTCTTTTTTTAATTAATTTATCATTTAGATTCACCAAATTATTCATGTGAAGTACTTAGAGAAAGACATGTAAAATATGCCTTAACAAATGTATAACTTACAAATTTTAAATACTATTTATCATTAACTTTATAATAGTCTAGTATACCATGGAAGAATATAAGATAATTATTAAGAAGAATGGATATTTATAAATATGCAATCATAAATAAAAATGATCTTTAATATTATGTTAATTAATTAGGTTTTAATTAATTTATTGAAAAATTTGTAAATAGTTGTTCATAAGATGCAATGTTATCTGAATTAATATAACGTAGAGGAAAATAAAAGTTTATTGCACATTGTTGTAATATATTTCATTACTTTTTTCGTTACAATATAAAAGCTGTTACTAGAGAAGATTTATATTTAATTCATTCAAAAAAAGCTATAATAAATGAGAAGATATTTGATAGATTCAAATAAAAGGCTGTTGAATCAGTAAAAGATTTAACTAATGATAATATAGTTATTTAAGATTTTATTGAAGATTGGGATGAAATTAAACCAATAATTTTAGGGGAAACAAGAGAATAATAAATATTAAGTTTAGGTCAAGATTATTTAATACCAAAATTAGTTTCAATTTTAGAATATGAATTTTTTTAAAGACATTTAAATAAAATATATGAAACTGAAGAAGCAGAAATGAGTTAAAGTATACTATGTAAATTAAATTTACTTCTTTATGGAATTAGATTTTTCAAAAAATAAGATTTATAAATTATTCACAAAAGATTCAAAATAACTTCATCACAATACTATGATTTTGCACAATGTTTTAAAATTGCTTTATAAGAATACAAAGTCTTGAATTATGTTCATTTATTAATTGAAGAGTATGAAGAATTTATAGTCTCTGATTGAAAAAAAAATTATAAAATTATTGTATAATATTAAGTGGGAATTCTATAAAAGAAGTTATGTTTACATAAGTTATTTCAATTTCACTTTTGCATAATATATATATATATAGATAAACAAATAATGAATCTTTTAATAATAAATATATATATATCATTATGTGAATACTTTTCTAAACCAAGTTGTCACTTCATCTAATGCTTATTATGCTGTCTCCACATTATAAGCTTCTGGTCTATCTTGATTCATAAAAGCATGTCCTACTCCTGGCCAAACTCTATTTAAAATAACTATTAATTATTACTTGACTGTAACATCTTTTCCTGCCTTCTTTCCAGCATCAACTAATCTTTGTGCATCATCTGGAGATGAAAATCCTTTCATTTCATCTTTCTCACCAAAATGACCATAAATAGGTCCATTGATATTCTCTAATTTGAAAGTGTTCAAATCACATACTCCATAGAAAGGAGCTGATGCATCAATTTAATTAGAAAATGATATAGAAGCAATTGCTAATGCTCCACCCATACAGAACCCTGTGACACCAACTTTAGTGCATCCTAATTCTTTTAAATGTTTGGCTGCTCCTTCTATATCTCTCACTGCTCCTTCCCAATCTAAACCACTAAGTAGATGACCAGCTTCCTGGAATTATTCTAGAACAAAGAAATGATACTTCTCTATTTTATGCAACTTTTCCTCTGTATATATCAGGAGAGATGCATTGAAAACCTTTCTAAGCAAGTTTGTCAGTAGTTTTGACCATTGATTCATTCAAACCCCACCATTCTTAGATAACAATGATACCATATTAAGAATCATTCTTATTCAAATAACTAGATAGAAATCAAGAATACCCTTCTCCATCTGGTCTACCATCTACTTTATAGGTGCAGTTTTTTTTGGCTGGAGTGTGAAGAGGTTAGTCAACTTACATTATTATAATTAATATTATATGAAATTTAATTGAGAATTCTGAGAATAAATAAACAATCATTTTTCAATTTATATCTTTAAGTCCTTTTTTCTTAATTTGATTAATGTAATCTATTAATTTTTGGTTTTTTTATTAAATTGCTATATCTAATGCAGTTCTTCCTTTATTATCTGTCTTTTTATAATCAATACCTTTAATCAATAAAAATTTTGCAATTCCATTTCTTTCTTTTAAAGCTGCTTAATGTAATAATGTACAACCATTAGAATCTATTAATGTTAATAATTTAGGTTCACTAACAATTCTAAATGTAAATTCAATTTTTTCATTTAATGTAATTAATCTTTATAGATCTAAAATTTATTATGTTTGATATGTTGATGGCTTTTTGATTTATTCTCCTGGTTTTAAGTCATATTCTTAAATCTAAGGGACAGGTAAATGATATAAAGCATTAGAATTCATTCTTTGTAATACATTTTTAAAAGATGGTAATTATTGGAAACTTGAAAAGGCACTAGAAAAAGGCATGTTAGGTTAACCTAAAGTAGGTTAAGATTACATTTATGATCCAGCATTACTAATGACTGATGAATTCATATAATCTGGAATCTATATAGCTTTACTTATAATGAGATCCTTTTTCTCTACAAATTCTCTTTATGGATTTTTAATATAATCATGAGTATATTTATTTCTTAATTATACTTTTTCTTGAAACATTTATTAACCTTATTCTTCCAAATTAGTTAATTTATCAAAATATTTCTATTCTTCCTTTAAAAATTTATCCATAATGAGTTTTATATATTCTTTTTCTTCCTTCTCTTCTAATTTTAATTCTCTTCTCCTCTTTTCTTATTATTTATTCAAATTAGCACGTTGAGTTTATTATTAATTCATTTATAAAATCTAATTGTATGTTCTCATATCTGTGACTTCTGGATTTTCAATATGTTTTTAGGAGGAATGTTTATGCTTAAAGTAAATTTAATCTTTTCTATGATATATTTTGAAAAATCTTCTTTCATATTTTGTATTATTTCCAAAATAATTATCTAATTTCTCTTTGTATTCTTTTACAAAGTTATTCTTCATTTTCTTAAACTTAATATAATCAGTATGATCAACAGGATCTGGTAATGGTTTTTTAAATTCCTTAATCTTCATAATTGGATTCTTCGAGTTCTTTTATTTATATTATGTATATAGTGGACATTCCTATTCAACAATTTCATTGAGTCTAAAAATTAAATATATTATTTTACAAATTCTCAGTTTTTTATGCTTATGTCATAAAAGTATATTTATGTTATGTACTAATTTAAGTCTTACCTACTGCTGCACTATTTGCTCTCTCAGTTTAAGTGACAGATTTCTTATTCATAAAATTAAATTATATTTATATATATCTATAATTGGATAAGTTATGTTTTATATTAACAAGTATCAGAATAGAATCGATACATTTTAATAAATTGAAAATATGATTAAAATATATTAATTATTATCATTTTTATGATGAACTCAACTAATTCTACTAAGTAAACACATCACAATAAATCCTCAGCTATATATGTCTTTATAGGAGTTTTTGTTATTGTTGTTTTACTTGTAATAGCTATAATCACACTAATTCAAAGAGAACATAGAAGATTACAACAGCGTATACGCTATTCTGAAATGACTCATATTAAAAAAGAAAGCAACACTACTCTAGATGGACAATCAATTGAAATTTCCAATTCTGAACAGCAACCTAATCATCCTGACAAATTGGTGACCTTCGCATAGTGATATCATAATATTACTTTATTAATTATTATGGATTAATTTGCTATTGGATTATTTCCACTTGTCTATGCTGGCTATGCATAAATAAAAATCAAAGGATATAAATAAATTAGAAATAAACCAGAAACTATTGCCTTAAAAGTTAAGATTGGTTTTTAACTCTAAATTGCCATCGTTCAAATAATTGAATTATTTGTTGCACTTTTAAATAAAGACTTACTATCTGCTTTATGTTGTCTCTTCTTAATCATTGGATTATTTTATTCATTTGGGATTACAGTAATCTTTCATTAAGAATCACTCTTAACTTTTTTACCTTTCATTTTTCTATTCAATTTAATTTGCAATGAAACCATTCTCAAATTATTTGACTTCCTTAGTTTAGTTTTATCATCACTTTTGGTGATTTACTAACGATATAGAGGTGATGATCCTTTGGAATATAGTAACTATTTATTTAATCTCATTTTATAGACCCTTTTTGTGAATTCTTTGAGCAATAGGATAGTGTCATTGCTTAATACTTGATTTTATTGAAATTTCAACCAAATACTTATTTTGAAGAAATTGAATTACATGAATTGAATGAAACATCAATTCAAAATCCTCTATTACTTAATCAATAAACTTAAAGTCATCAATAATAACATCCAACTTCTTAAGTGGCTTAGTTCCTAATTAATTAAACTAGATAATCAACAAAATTAGATCTAAAACATCCTGAACCTGTAATTATGGATATTGTATTTTCCAAAGATGATGATGAAATTTGGGATAAAAAAATTGAAATTTTTGATTCACCAAAATTGTAAAGCAAACGAAGAGTTAGTTCATCTTAAATAATAATAGAAGAGAATTCCCAATCTGAAGAAATTTCTTATCCATCATTTAAAGAGGATATTCCAAAATCAAATTTAATTAGAGGATAAGTTTCTGAAAATAAATCCTTATCCTAAAGAGAAATTAAATAAGATCATTAAAATGAACAAATATATGAGTAGTAATAATAAGTTATACGTTCTGATGATGAAATGAAAAAAATAAATAAAGTAGATACTAGACTAATTTAAGATGATTAATTGGAAGAATTGAAATATTATGAACATCAATCATACAATGAGATTTAGCCTATAATTTAACAAGGAAAATAACAAGTTATTGAAATTCTTGATATCGATAAATTAGGAGGATCTGAGAGTCCATTAAAATAAGAACCTATTCCTTAATAATAATTTCCTTTTGTTGAAGACAATGAATATCCTGATAAACTCATTGTGATTCCTTAAAAAATTCAATTGGAATTAAATAAGAAAAAATAACAGAAAAAAAAGAAATAAAAAGATGAAGGACTTATTGCAAAAAAAAACAGAATGATGAAAAGAATTAAAAGTTTTGAAGAATTTTAAGATAAAAATGATGACAACAAATCCTAAAATAGTGATTATTATGATGATAAGAAAAGTGATTATGAAAGATATAAGGATGAATTAAGTTCAGCCACATTATCTGAAGATGAAAGTGAGAGTGGAGTTTATGTTTAATAGAAAATGGAAAAAGTGCAATTTATAGTAGGGAGATAAGTTGTGAAAAAACTAATTAATTATTAACATAAAGTTCTGATTCCTATAACCATAAAAGTTAAAAATGATTAATGGGTTTAAAATTGTTAATATGGTGAATTATATTAATTAGCAAATGGACATTTACCAAAACCATCATATGGAGATGCTGAAATAGAAAAGAAATTGTTTTATATTTAATAATGGTTGGATGGAATGAGTTAGAATCCAATTCTAATGAGAAAAGAAATATTAGAATATTTCAATGTTCCAGAATCTATTATGAATAAATATGGATTAGTTAAAAAGATTGAGGAAGAGACTAGAGTATAAAGACATAGCAACAAATTCTTGAATTCTACTTAAAAGGAATACTTTTTGTAGATCAAATAAATCAAAGTCGATTGTTTTCATTCAGAAGTATCAGAAGCTTTTACATCAATTGTTTATTATAGTTTAAGATTTACAATTTAGACAGAGAAAAAAACAATTATTTCAGAATGTGTGAAAACAATTGAAGAAATAAAAGAAGCAACAAAAATAATATAATAAGAAAGAAATTTAAGAGTTTCATTGTAGGATCATGAAACAACAAAAAAATAAATGAAAGCAATAGATTAATTTTTATAAGAATTATTTGGCCATTAATTTTATTATTGTGATAAATTATTTGAACAATTTGAACTATTATCACAAATTTAATGATATTTCTATAATTATATTTTAAAATTATGTTTATTTTTAAATCTATTATGTTTTATATTTGATCATTAAACTTCAACCCAACCACCTTCAACATGTCCGCTCATTTAAATAAGGGCAAACTAATTAAATATAATTAAAATAATTACATCAAAGTTTTGGATACAAGCTTGATCTGAGGTATAAGTAACCTTCTTTCCATTATAATCGGTGCTCTCATATAAGGTAACTCTTCCTTATGGTGGAACCTTGATAGATCTAATTTATGGTGGAATGTTGTCATTTTAGAAGTTTGGTGATTTAGAGCAGAATTCAAATGAAGCTCCCTTGTAGTCACATTCACTGTAGAAAACTGCACATGCTTCCTTTGGTTCATACCATAATTTGAAGTCTCTGAAACCCCATGATTCTATAAATGTTATTAATAATATATTTACCATCTGCAGCATCTTGATCCAAAGTAGATGTGAAAACAACTTCAGCCTTTGGAGCTTAATGATTGAATATTTCATCAACACCAACAATACCATCGAAAAAGACACCCCATCCACAGAAGTTGGCACCTCCTGTTTAAAGATTCCAAGATGTTTTCCATACATCAGTTCCGTCAACCTTAATGATCATGAATTCTCCATCCCAAGAATCAATTTTATAGATTGTTGATTACAATCTAAGTCTTTTGTGTGGTGGAATATCGAATGTTTTAGTAGCACTAGCACCAACACCCATAATATCATAACCTCCAACCATTGATTTACCTCCACATTCATTGATAGTTCTTCCAGCTTTATTTTTATTAAGAACCCAACCATTGATTCCTGTGAATTTATCTTCCAAGAAAGATTATTCCAAAAGAATAAAGTTTGGTAAGGCTTAACATTTACCTCCAACTAAAGCCCAATTGTTAGCACATTCTATTTTATTATAAATTTAGAATTACTCTTGCAATCAGATTCTTTTGGTCCTGTACATTCAGCACAGTTATCAGAACAAGCAGCATAAAAGATGTACAAATCTCTCAAACCAAATGATTCATTATTTGGTGCTTCATCAAGAGTTGATGTGAATTCAACTTTAGCTTATTCACCAGTATGATCAACATCGACTTCAGTTCTAGCAAACATTGTTTTCCATTCAAATACTGGGCAACCACAGATCTTACCAAAGTAACCCTCATGCCATTAGAATCTTCTTTCCCAAACTAATTTTCCATCAACTTTGATTTAAGCAGCTTCATTATCCCAAGAGTCAATCTTAGCCCAAAGAACCTTAATCTTAAGCTTGTAATGGGGTTTGAATTTAATAACTTTACTGATGACTGTTCTAGCACCTGTCTTATCAAAACCTCCAAACAAAGCAGCAGCTAAATTTTTTAATATATTATAATACCTCCACATTATGTAGCAGATGAAGCTCCACCAGCAACATCCCAACCATCGGCACCTAATTAGTTAGCATCTAAAGCACCCCAACTTGAAGTAAATGATTACCAGAAATTACAGTTTTCTGATTTATCATCAACTTAACAAGCAGAACATCCATTTGGGCATTTTTCTACTGATATAACGAAGTCTCTGAAGGCCCATGATTCCTAAATATGTAAATATTATTATATTACATTATCGGCAGCTTCATTCAAGTTTGATGTAATAACAACAACTGCTGTTGGACCAGTGTGTTTAATGTTCAAGTTGAGATTGACAAGCATTTCTTTCCAATCACCACCTTAACCACATTTTTGACCATCACCTTCATTATATTAGAATTTTCTTGACCAGACAAGTTAATCATCAACAAAGATATATCCTTCTTCATTATCCCATGAGTCAATCCTAAACGTTTATTAATGTATCATACTTCCAAAATTAGAGCTTCAAATTAATCAATGAATGTGGGGGAAGTTCAAAAACTTTACTTGCTACGGCTTTAGCACCAAACTTTCCAAAACCTCCAAACATCTTTGTACCACTGCACTCTGTAACATGGGCTGGTCCTCCAGCAGTTACCCAACCTAAATCATTATTAAATAATATTACCATCAGCATCAGCAAAATCATTTCCTGTGAAGGATTAGGAGACAACAACTGGTTCTCCTAATACTTACACTGCAGCGCAAACTAACAGCACCAAAACAAGTGTTCTGTTTTTCATAAAAAATAATAATGAAATATTTAGTTTTATAAATTCCTTAAAAAACGACTATTTTCATTATTTCTCTAATTTGGATATTATTGCCACATATTTCGTTTTTATATTGACAACTTTAAATAATGAAATTGATGTATATATTGTTCCCATAAACAAATGTAGATCATTCTAAACACAAAAATAAACTACTTTTCTTAACTGTAACAAACTAATACATGTTTTAAAATAATTGAATAATGTATCAAAAATACTTCCCAAAATAAGGTCCATCAATAAAATTAATAAAGAAACTACTCTTAATCCCTAAAAAACTCTATTTTGCATTATAAAACTAAATAAAAAAACAGATAATAAATAAAAATATATCAAATTATAAGAATACTTAATGAATTCAAAATTATATCTCATAAACATAAAGAGTGATATAAGGATCTAAATTTTGTATTCTCTATTATATTATATATATATACATATATAATATTAAAGTTA